TATATCTCTGCATAACATACTAAAACTTATCATTATCACAGTTATTTCTAAATTGTTTTAAAATGTTGTTTTAATATTAAAAACCAAAATTTGTGTTATCAGGAATTCAAGCGGCTTAAGTATGATTATATCTTCCACACATGCCTGGTAAGGTACCTCAATTTTTTGTGAGGAAACTTCTTAAAGTAGCAATACTTCAATCAAAAATTGTTGGGGAAAATTATATATTATTGAGGAACATATCGTTTGACCTCAAGGCACCACTTGTACAGGTTTGTTGGTGATGGTAGCAGGTCATAGACAGATCTCAGTAAGAACTGCATGTAGTGTGGTTCCATCTGCCAGGATTCTCCCTATTTCAGTTTTTTCTCTCTTGTTAACCAACCAGTCACGGTAGCCAAATGATAGAGCGCTCGCTTCGTGATCGGGAGGCCCGAGTTCGATTCTCGTTCCCCGCGCCTCGTCAGACCTACAACGTAAACATAGGCAGTGACTGTTTCTTCGCCAAGCGCTTGGCACTAGAAGTGAAAGTCACGGGTCTTTCGGATGATACTTTAAAAACCGAGGTCCCGTGTCAGGGTAGGCGTTGGCACGATAAAGAACCCTCACTGCTCAATGGCCCTGAGTGTTGAGTAAAGGTCTAAATTTGAAACTCTTTACCGGCATATGGTGACGTCTCTATATGAGTGAAAAATTCTCGAATGGGACGTAAAACAAAATACAATCACATTACAATCTTGTTACCCATCTTGATCCACCAGGACAATCCGCAATTCTCTTGTTTCATTACTAATTATCCAGCTCTCTCTATATGTGCTTCCAAGCCGCTGTCTCCCTTTTGCTATTACTGCCAAATCTTGCTTATTATAAGCACTTATCTAGGTTATCTAAGTAAAAGTATTGGGTTTCAAATTACATCGTCTTTCTTGTAAATGTGTGAAATGGCAATAAAGAGAAAATTTTCAAAAAAAACTCAAATTCTGTTCGAAAAAGTTTAATATCATTATTATATACTAGTATGTATTATATTTCGAGTAAATATAGCATAGAGAATTTTATAGAAAATTTAAAAAAAGGGTTATTCAATTTTATCCTTGCTTTATAGTGAAGGTAATTGCTTTGTATAAACGGGGTAAGTACCAGATCGGGGTGGGGACATTTTTTTTGGACGTTTTCTTTTAAATTTCCAAACAAGAATTATGAAAAAAATGCCCTGGAAAATTTTTCTAACTTCAAAATCACTGTTTTAGGCATGTAATACGAATTAATAAACTTCAGTTAAGCCTTCATGGCTCTTCGTACTGGCTTCATTTTATCCAATAACTTTAAAAGAGTTTTTTCCCTAAACATTTAAATAAATTCTTGATATTCGTCCATTGTATGTTTTTTTCAGAAGTGATACATTATATGATTTTTAAAGTTGTGTTTAAAATAAAACGATGGAAATAGATAAAAAAAAATATTGAAGAGTGATAAATCAGCTGTAATCATGTACACCATGGTCAAAACAATATTGAGAACGAATTTATTTGAATCAAAACATAGAGACGTCCATTTCGTATTTACTTCCTTCAGATCAGTAAATTAACTCAGCATTCAAAATACACGTATAGGCTTCTGTGTTGTGCAATTCCTGTTTTTTGTATTTTCAGGACAAGAAATGTTCAAAGAAGGTAAATTGAAATGTTCAATTGAAGTCATGAATCAGTTATCAGTTATGTTAATTTACACAAAAATCTTGTATCATCGTTCTCAAGTTTTATTTGAATATTTTGTTTACATCAAAAGGGTTTCTGCACTTCTGTAAACAACGAAATATAAATAAGCATTAAAAATATTTGGTTGGGAACTTCAAATATTTATTTTTTTCGAATTTGAAAAATAAATAATCAAATAGTTATTTCAGGTGTTGTTTGCTTTCAAACTAGGGCTCCTGAAAGTCCAAAAGATCACGGGAATTAAAAATTAAGAGAAACATTTACCTAGACATGTGTTCGATATGCATTAATAAACTTATTGTGCCGTATGTCCAATACCCTCTCGTTATGAGGTGAAATAAAAAAAAGTTACAGAAAATAATCCATTTATCTCCGTAATAGGTATCAACAGAGATAAGATATCAAAGGATTTCTCTGGACATTAATAAAAACTCAGCATCTATAATGTTGATGGCTATGATAGCCTTTTATTTCTTAAAATTCGTTTTTTTATGAACTGCGAAGTAGTTATTGCGCAAAAATGAGAAAAAATAATACCCGGTTCGTGACCTAAATAACACACCCATTCATTAAAGAGTGAAACAACCGAGCCATTGGTCAATGATGCATTCAACCATTTTTAAATCGTGTCGTTCCGTCATGCTGCTACACGGCTTATGTTTAAATAAGTCGCTGGACTCATTGTTATTGTGAAAGACATGCGAATGGTTTTAAATATTCTTCCTAAATTTTATTGGTCGATTATTTGTGTCCGGAAAGTATCGGAATGGTAAACATATATTTATAGAAGGTATAAATACCCGGTGTTCTTTACAAATGGCTAACACTTTGTAACACACCTGGCTTAAGACCATATCGAGGGAGAGAAAATAATGCCGAGTTTATAAAATTGTTAAGAACTATATTTTGAACAGAGGAAAATTTTACTTATATACTTTAGCGCCTCTTGAAGTGAGCTATTATAATTTTTTTGGGCTGTCAGTATGTACAATTTTCAAACGTGTCTAAAATTTTTCATAAGCACGTGTATTCTATTAAGAAATGTACAGCAGTCTTGTGGAGTAACCCTTCCTATTCCGGCAGAATTGGACGCAGAGGATTTAGGTAAGTCCAGTATTTATGTTTTCCACAACCAACACTATACAGATACCTGATCGGCTACAAATCAATAATCCCAATTTCAATGGTTATTTTTGGACCGTTGCATGTTCATGAATAATTGCAAAATCAATTATTAGTGGAGCAAGCTTTCTTAAAAGACAAAAATAATTGTTACATAATACACCGTCTATGTATACGGTCTAAAACAAGGTACCTGATGTGTCTGGGATTGGGATTTTTTACGTTTAAAATTTAATGGCTGTACTTGCTAATACGGATATTTAATACTCAGTGCTTCGGGGATGGATTATTATCTCAGTGAAATTATTATCTAAAGCATGGGTCTCTTATATTTGTTTGTATAATAGGATTAGCACGATGTTATTAATTTTTTTCAATTTCAAAACTCAGTTGCGAACTGTCAAAAAAGTTACTAGATATAAAAAAGAATTAATTATGAATTTACATTATTTGATCGAAATAGGAAAATCTGGAAGTTGAAACTTTATCAATGGGCAAAGGAAAATTTCATACCGTCGGTTTAAACTGTAAAATGATATCCAAAGGTTTCATTAAATTAGACCCACAAACGCACGAAGTGTAGAAATTATCATTTCATCTCATAAACCGGCTAACTTTCCTAGCTGTAGTATTATTTTGCATTCTAACTGTTGTATACCTTCATTTAAAATTTTTAATAAGATTTTTAAAAAATATCTGATTTTGAAAAATTCTAGTTTGGTTCATGAAAATAAATAATCTGGCATGTCTTTGAATATTTCGTCACATCGTCTTATTTTTCAGTGACTCAGCCGCATGCAAATAAACACACGTGTATTGAAGTCACGGAATAACCTCCATTTTAAATAACAATTATGTACAGTACTTCAAACCTCCTTGTATGTACATTTATTGACATTTTAAATTTATCCCTTTTCAGAAATTTAACAATTTGTATAAAATATTTTAAATTCTAAACCACCAGGGGCAGTGTTATAAAAGGGAGGACAATGCCTAATTGACTTTGCAATGAAGATAAAATCTTGCCAATGACACACAAATTTAAATGGATGCAAGGGAAGATGAAGACAAGATAGGAATTTTTAAAAGTTTTCATATATAATATATTGGTTAGATTTCTCAATTTGCACTTTTTGACTTTATTTTGTCTTTACATCGAACTGTTTTGCGTGTTTAGGTGTGACTTAAACAAAAGTGTGCGATAAAGAATTGTTTTATGTTAGAAGGAAGCTTGTTAACAATCTAATGAAGAAACAGGGATATGTGAATTTTTCTCAAGCAGAATTTGTGATAGTACAAAATCAGCATACAATAACTATATCCTACCAAACACATCTAAATGTGACTGGTCGGCAGGGGATGCCCACTCCTTCATGGGACCTAGCTCTGATGTTTTAGAGGTCCGTGTTAGCTCTGCTCCTGATTTGTATTGTGAAGGACTTTTGAGCTTGAATACTCCATATATTTCATTACAAATCATCAGTGGGATGGATACAAGTTGTAGGTTTTCAGATAAGGAAGTAGTGAATTTTAGAGAAAAATTATTGATATTATTAGCGAATTTACATGAATTTTACATAAATATTACAGTAAAAACCCAGTTTTGCGTTTGAAATTGGAGTCGTATATATATGGCTCATAAATCTGCATTCATGTCAAAACCGAGTGTCAAACTAGTTAAAGATGCAAGCGATAAAAGATTGAAGTTAAAAAAAAAACATTTTTCTATTTGAAAGAATTTTTTGTCCAAGTATGTAGCATAAAACGCCGAATCATACACATCTATGGTAAAACAACTGTTTTAAGATTGAATGCTTCTGAAAAGTAGAAGTGCTTATAAATTAATGGAAAAAAAAATCCCGATGCCAATACCAATTTTACTGTGTTTGAATGCTATTCCTTTTTAATGATCAAAAGGTTCACCTTCTAATCTTAATTTATCACGAAGTTTTCCCGCACATGCAAAGCAAATTAATTTACAAATTAAATCAGTCACATCTGCTTAGTAATAAATTAAAGGAAAATTAGTTTGTCAATGAACTATTATGATACCCCAGATTGTTATTGCAAGAACATTGAAACACACCTTGCACTTAGTCAATTTCCTGTTATCAGAGAATAAAAGAATTTAAACCCAGTTACTCATTGTTCTACAGGTGAGGTGGTCGTGAGCTTGAAAGAAGATAGTGGACGTTACCGACGCTCAACAGACGGCGTGTCAGTTCCCGCCAAAAATATGGAGCTCATTTTCCCCTTTAATGAGGGGGTAGTGGACCTTCATTTGATCCGGAGGGACGAGCATTCAGTGAATGTACCTGTCTATACCACAAGCGACAGAGGGGATATAGTCAGACAGTACATACATGATAAAAATGTTAGTAACCCGAAGAAAATAAAATAATCGTCTTATTTCTTAATAAAATTAATCAAATTTGCGCCATACACATACTATGATATGAACAGGGAATCGATATCTGTGTACAATTAACAGCGATTCCTGTAATATACCATATGTGAGGTTGTGTGGTATCGAATGATGTAAACGCTATCTACAAAATACCTTTATTGCATAATTTAGTAGTTATTCCAAAATCGAGCGATCTCATTTGTCGCAGTACAAAAGATACTTGATACTAAATTTAAAAAAAAAAAAAAAACTTATTTTTTTTTTTATTAAATGGATACTGTAGGTAGATAACTTTACATTACTGCGCTTTCATTTAAAGCGCATTGTTTTTCCTTCCATTAATTAAAAGTGAAAACACTTTCACACCGAATTATGATGAAAGAAACTGACAATTTCTTACATTATTTCTAGACTTTCTCGCACAATTCTATACTATTGTGTTCCAAGAAATTGTTGAGAATTTTTTCAAGGAATTTTTTTTTTTTCAAAATATTTTAAAAAATAAAATATTTATAGTTTGAGGTCAGTTTTTTTTAAAATCAAATGTCAATACTTGCTACTTTATTATTTTATATGCAGTTTTCATGAATATCTTGCCATTTTCTTTGAATACTTCTGGTAGAATGTTAATGTTCAAAATGAGTGCTTTTGAAAAAAAGAAAGTCAATTGTAGATATTTATTATCAAAGAATTGCAAAACTAGCGATACTTCTTGAACATTGAGTCTACTATTGATTCACTTGGGACAAATTATTGAAAAATGGAAAGGAATTCGGCAGAGGGAGGGACAGAGCTGGTAGGGCTAGGAATGAAACCCCATTTTTCTACACCTAGTGTTGTTCTTTCTGAGCAAATTCCAAGCTTTCTTTGAGCTGTGTATGTTAGTTTACTAGGCCTACAGACTCTTTTGCTTTACCGAATTTCTCTTCTTTTTTAATATTTTGTACCACACAACACAATGTAGACGGTGAAATGCTCTGTGTTTCAGAAATGTCGCCATATTTAACTATCCCATTCTTAAAGAAACTTAAATAAGATTTTTATTTTCAATAGCAGTAACTTTGAACATCAGCAGACAACGGGAAGTATATTAAATATATACAAATATATATAAATATATAGAGGTTATATATGAAAACTGCACATGTGTCATTAGAAAGTATGGGGTATTGTTATTAAGTAAAATAATAGCATTTAAGTATATTGTATTTTATTAATCCACAATTTTAGATAAATGTATCATAAAAAAAATTTCAATAATTTCTGGGAACACTCTTGATATAACTACAACCTGCTAATTTTTAGAACATTGTTGCAAAATATAAAGTATGCCTTTTCTGAAGCTTTAATCTGATATGTTGTTTTGTAGAATGTGTTTTTCTACCAAGACGAAAGTAAATTTGCAGCTTTCTATGTAGAAACCACGAACTCCTCATCGTGTATTGTAAGTAACCTAAAAAATAATATTTCATATTATACTATCCTAAGCAGATAGTAACTTTAAATGCAGTAACTAAATTCACCCTTAAAAAATATAACCAAAAACCATGACCAAGAGAAAGAGAAATCGGAACCTTCTGCCTGTTGCTGAAAATTGTTTGCTGAAAGAAGCCCGTGAAGTAATGCTGAAATTAATCATATTTAAGACATTGAACGATTGTATTGTTTTTAATCAGTTTGGAAGCTTTGAAGACAGATCTCAGGAATATTTTCTGGAACCAAAGGATAGAAATTGTGATCCTAAAAATTCTCCATTGTTCAAAGTTCTGAAAATCCAACACACCAATATCCAGTATGCTGACAGTGTTATAATGGGTATAGTAATTCGTAGATATCTATTTAAATTTTTTCTCGATATTATCGACCTATTAAAAATTTAAACAGATTTTCCAAAAGTGCAGACACAAATGGAAATTGTTCAAAATTGATATTAATCTGTGCAATCTAAAACAAACGAGTTTGCTATATAACATTAATGCCGATGTAGAAATGCGAATTAAATATTAAACGAGATACTAGGTATCACGAATACCTCAAAACAGAAAATACATTGTACAACGTAAATTATCAAATTGTGTATATTCTCTAACATAGATAAACTTCCGAATCGACTCCCCATGTCAAAGAATTCTGAAGCAAACAGAGAGAAGAGGTCTACTCCAGAGTATAAGATAGAAATGCTTCTAATTATCGACTTCTCCGTGTATAATTAGTGAGTATTATCAACTAAAACTCAAAATGTACACGACCCCGGAATCAGTTTATTCAACAACCTTTAAACAACCTTTAAAGTCAACATTTCGTAAATTCTATGGTCGCTATAATGACCTTGTTAGCAAATATAAGCTATCAATGGGTCATATTTCATAACAATTGTTAGATCTTTGATTTTATATTCAATTTGACTACGGAATTTTCCGTCTACCAGATCAATACATGGGGCTCACGGCAGGTGTGACCGGTTAACAGGGGATGATTACTCCTCCTATAGGCACCTGATCCCATCTCTGGAATTTCCAGGGGTCCGTGTTCCATTCCCTTGTTCGCGATTTGTATTGTTTGTAGGGTTTTTTTTAGCTCCATCACTGTTCGTTACTAGTATCTTCACTATTTCATTAATGCTGACAGGGAAAATAAATGAATTATTTCTTTTATATGTACTCTTAATGATGGGGCTGAATTCAACAAAATTAATAGATTTTATTTCAAAGTTATTTTAGAAGAGTAAAATGTGAGAAAGCGTCAACGTATTTCGATATTTAGTTTGCATGGAAGATCTCTCTCGTAACCTTCCCTTTCATGCAGATTTGTGTAGAATATTGAATGTTAAGTTTTGTTAATAGACATTCATGATTATATTCAATGACAATTTATTCAAAAAGAAAAAGAAAAAAAAAGCAAAAGAAAAAAGCCAGAATCACATTGCAAAACATCAAATTATGACATTTTATTGTGTTCTAAAAATGTTGAATTACAAATAATTATATTAAGGTATTGCGTGTGACTATTTAATAAAATATCCGATCCTCTTTGGTTAAAAAGGGATTGATTTCGAAATATAGGGTGTGAGAAAGTATCAAAGTTCTCATATTAGAACTCTGATATAATGTGTCTGTCCATAAATTATGTTAAATACGTGAAAATGTTATACATATTATAGAGAGTTAAATTAAACTATATGCAGGACATGTAAAAAATCATAGCATATATGTAATAAACAGAGACACGAAAATGGATATGACATGCAAATTCTCTCATTTTCAGCTGGTACACACAAAGCACGGCGTCTACATCAGGAGAAAAAGACACAGAGGCGAAGGGAAACATCAGACAGTTTTACGCATGGGTCATCAACGGGGTATCATTTGATAATCTTTCTATCTTTCTAGCATGTTTAATACTATTCTATTAATATATAATATAAGATCTCTTTAGGGGAGTTCTGTGCATAGATTTGTATCACTGTTCATAAATTTGCGAAAAGTTATTAACTGATATGCACAATATAAAACACAGACCATAAAATATCAATATTCATAGTGATAATAGATAACATCTATTGTATAATGGGTTGACTTTAAGTTTATGTTATGTTTTCTTTTAGATGGATGTAAGATACAAGAACATCCAGACTTCAGCTTACACCATATCTATTGTCTTCGCCGGAATTTATATAGCAGATGTAAGTATAATTTACCAAAGATAATTCATACTTACCAAAAGATATTTACAAGGACATTAAAATTAGCTGATTCAAAATTTAAGTACTTAGATATTGATTGCACGCCAATCGAATATGTATTTAGACATTGATTGCCTTCCATTAGAATATATTTATATTAAGACATTGATTGTCCTCCAGTAGAATATATAATTAAACATCGATTGCCCTCAGTTACAATAAATGTTTAGAAATTATTGCCCTCCAGTAGAATATATTTATGTTTAAACATTGAATGCCCTCCAATATATAATTAGACATTGATTTAACTCCAGTAGAATATATTTACACTAGACATTGATTGCCCTACTGTAGAATATATTTATATTTAGACATGGAATGCCCTTCAGTAGAATATATCTATATCTAGACATTGAATGCCTTTCATTAGAATATATATTTAGACATTGATTGCCCTACTGTAGAATATATCTATATCTAGACATTGAATGCCTTTCATTAGAATATATATTTAGACATTGATTGCCCTACTGTAGAATATATTTATATTTAGACATGGAATGCCCTTCAGTAGAATATATATTTAGACATTGATTGCCCTAATGTAGAATATATTTATATTTAGACATTGAATGCCCATCTGTAGAATATATTTATATCTAGACATTGAATGCCCTCCAGTAGAATATATATTTAGACATTGATTGCCCTCCGTTAGAATATATTTATACATCTTGTATTTTGAGAGTGATTGCCCTTCAGTAGAATATATATTTAGACATTGATTGCCCTACTGTAGAATATATTTCTATTTAGACATTGAATGCCCTCCAATTGAATATATAATTAGACATTGATTGAACTCCAATAGAATATATATTTAGACATTGATTGCCCTACTGTAGAATATATTTATACACTTTGTATTTTGATAGTGATTGCTCTTCAGTAGAATATATTCATATTAAGACGTTGATTGCCCTCCAGTAGAATATATTTATATTTAGACATATAATGCCCTTCAGTAGAATATATCTATATTTAGACATTGATTGCCCTCCGATAGAATATATATTTAGACATTGATTGAGTAGAATATATTTATATCTAGACATTGATTGCCCTACTGTAGAATATATTTATATATATACATTGAATGCCCTCAAGTGGAATATATATTTAGACATTGATTGAATAAAATATATCTATATCTAGACATTGATTGCCCTACTGTAGAATATATTTAGACATTGAATGCCCTCAGGTGGAATATATATTTAGACATTGATTTCTCTACTGTAGAATAGTATTTATATTTTGATATTGATTGCCCTCCTGTAGAAAATATCTATAATGACCACAATAAGACAAAGATCTAAATTAGATCTCTTTTAAAAAAATCTTCAGTTTTGATAATTTGCTTTTGAGAATTTTCTTTTCGCCAGGCAAGTGATACAAGATCACTTGGTTGTACATGTTTGTGATTTTTCTATTTGATATGGATGTTAAATTAGACAAAGTGGATTGCATGCATATTTGTCTTATTACATTTTCAACAATGAAATACTGTAATTTATCCATTGAAAATGATATTTTCGAAAGTGGTATTTTTCACAATAAAAAATAAAAGTGATATCTTTTGATGTAAAAATATCAAAAGTGCGCAAAAACTCAAGATTTTCTTTCCCTTTACGAAGATTGTTATGAAGAGTAGACTAATTGTAATGAGATAGTGTTAATTTGACAATTATAATATTTAATTAGACAAATATATCATGATTTCTTACGCAAAAGATTGTTTAATTTACTTTTGATTAAAACTTCCTCGATTGGAGAAATTCTAAACAATCCAACAAATCCATAGCCTTTTTATAATTTTTCATAAATTTAAAAAAAGTGTTATGGAACAACCAAGATCAAACATGTTTTGTGAACTGGTCAAGTACAGAAAAAGAACCTCAACAGTTCCTTATAAAACGTATACATGTAAACGCATATCTACCGTTCTATAAAGGGACCTATCATATTTTAAACGAACATCGGAATATGCTCAAAATGGAATGGACAAGGAATAAATGAGAATGGAGACGAACAGATTAAAAAAATTGCAAGTCCTATAGCTCTATAGGTTCTATAGTGTGACTGAGCCATCAACCCCTCATAATCATAAAAGTGTACCAAAATCTCCTTGCACATAAAATTATTTTTTAACACCATGTTTCGAAATGAAATTGTAAAACTGCGTTAGATAAACAAAGCATTTTAATACGTAACTTAAGTATTGAAGCGTTTGGAGAGAATTCACCCTAAAGTTTTATTATCACATTCAAAAGGATAAATGTATAAATGATTTAGAGACTTCGAAAAGTCTGCACGTGATGAACTTTCCATATTTCGGTGCTTGACTTTTTAATCAATCAGGTCTTTGCTTTAATAATATAATGATACAGAATTAAAATATCCCGTGATCTAAATCCAAAATTAAAAGGTAACTTTCAAAAACCTTCAGAATAAACGTATTCAAAGCAAAATTTACTGTGAAAAAAACTTTGAAAATGAAATTGCTATATATATTCATAACCAACAGAAAATTTTATTTATCCTTAAAGACCTTTTCCATCCTGTGACCTCTCTATGTTTAACTATAATGTTACCATGCTGTGAGAAATATATCGTATATTTCAAATAAGAATCAAGTGATTCTTGTCTATAAACATGCCTAAATCCCATAATCGTTTTTTAAATTTCGAATTATGATCAATCAATCAAAGTATATTATGTATACCCTGTGGAAAATTCAGCAATTTCTCTCTCTGTCTGCCTCAGTCTATCTGTCTCTCTAGTATATATAACGCAACTTTTTAGTTAATTATACTTATTTCAAAAGTGCCGTAGATTCTAATCAAATGAAAAAGAATTCTTTTCTATACAGCATGCAGTTTCATTATGCTCTTACACATTTATCAACTTGTTTTATGTTAAACAGAAAAAATACTTAATCCTACTTAATAACAGTTGTTACTAGTTGTTACAAATATTAAAAAAAATCAGTTTGCAAATATTGACATTAAATAAATATTACTTCAGCAACCGTCTAAATCATCATTTACTGAAAGTAACAAAGATTCATCCACTCCAACACCAAAAGTGGACGCCAACACTGTTCTCACTGACGTCACATCCTGGGTCCAGGGTAGTTCCGGTCTTCCCAGCCATGATCATGCTATGATGTTTTCGAGGTAACTAATATCAAATACATGGTCTAAAAGTAAATAGCTCAAAATATTGTTGTGACTTAATATACTAGTGTTATTATATGGTTATTTTGAACAAGATTTTAGTTGTTTAAATGTTTATTTTTTACAAAATGGATTTTAGGTCTCACCCTATATGTTTGAAAATTTAAAACCACAATGAGTCATTTTAGCTGTTATGATGGATAATGTTCATAATTTGTGATTCAGCAGCTAAAAGAACCTCATTGGACTCCATATAATTTCTTACAATTCCACTACACTCTTAAACTTCTAATCTCTCTTCTTGGTAAAAATTGTCTTTCTGAGTTGAAGAGTGTAATAGATCAGATTAAAATTCTTTTGAAGGTATGATTTCACTAGTAGTGGATCAAGCAGTAATGCAGGATTGGCATGGGTAGGGGCCGTTTGTACATCAAACAGCGTATCTATAGTAGAAGACCACTTCAACTTCATCATATTGACAGTAGCAGCCCATGAACTAGGTCACAGGTAAACTGCACTTATCTTCATTTCTAGTGTTCATGCTTGATATCAGTGCCACAATGATACGAATTCACATGTAAAAGTACTTAAATGAAGTTATGTATAATTCATCTCCTGAATTAGTTTGAGTGCTGAGCATGATGGGACAAACAATGCATGTAACGGAGCAGATGCGTACATAATGGCTGCCTCTTCCTCCACTCCTGACAACACAAACCCATGGAAATTTTCCTCCTGCTCCACCACATATTTCACCAATTACATCAACACACTCAACAGGTTATTATGCTTATGCTTTAGTTATCTTTACCTTCGTTTCATATCCTCATTGTTTGAATATTGTAGATTATATAGAACCTTTAAAATCTTTATATTTCCAATCTTTTTAAAGCGGAAGCGGAAATTGTATGACGTCTCTGAGTGCTAGCTTTGACCCAACTGCTCTAAGTCAATACACAAGTTTACCTGGTCAGGTGTTTGACGCGGATGCAATGTGTAAACACATTGTGGGATCGGGATCCTCATTCTGCCAGGTATGACTCAGATTTAGGAACCATTTTTGTGGTAAAATTGGAAACATTTTAGAAATTTAATCTTAAAAGTATTTTAGCGAAGGATAAAATGAAAATATATGGGGTTTTTTTTTTATAGATATTTTCATTTGTTTCTCATTTTATGGGTTGATATACTTGACATACTAGAAAAGAAACAAAGAAAACTTTTGTTCTATAGTGCTATTATACTATTGCTAATCCTATTTTATTTCCTATTTTTGTTATCTATAGTTTCCATACAGCTATAACTTTACTTCATTATGTACCACACTTTGGTGCCACAAAACAGATGGGAGTGGACAGTGTGAATCATCACTGGGTGGAGATGGCCTGCAGTGTGGAAATAGAAAGGTAACTCCATAGTACATTTGTACTGAGATATATTTGTTGAATAAATAATAACAATGTGATAAAGCTGCAAATAATCTAAACTACTGACTTTGTTTGAAACATGTTTGTTTCTTTATACAGTGGTGTATATCAGGAGAGTGTGTGTATGACGACTGTGCTCCATCTGGGGATGGTAAGTATATCTATCTATCTATCTATCTATCTATCTATCTATCGATCGATCGATCGATCGATCCATTCATCCATCCATCCATCCATCTTTTAATTTTTTGTTCTAGAAACTTGTTTGTATGGTGACAGAAGTGGGATTATAATTAATTATAATGGAGTAGATAAAACATGTGCTGACATTGACAGTGAACCATTTATTTGTTATTCGGGTGAAGTCAGCAAGAAATGCTGTAAGACTTGCGGCAAGCACAACACTGGAAGGCAAGGTAGATACATACTCCTCATTTGTTGAAAATATCACCTCATTAATTTATCAAATTTTTATATGCATGCAGTTTGCCAAAAAAACAAACAAACAAACAAACTGAAATTTATATTAATTAACCATAGGCTGTGAATATGGTGATAAAGTTAACGTTTGTACAAGTGCCTATTGTCCTCAATATGGAGATACTCTCTGCTGTGGAACATGCTACACTGGAACAACTGTACCACAACCAACAACCACATCTTCACCAAATCTGTGTAAAACAACCACAACTTCACTAACAACAACCACTACACCAACAACCACTACATCAACAACCACAACAACTACATCAACAACCACAACAACAACACCAACAACCACTACACCAACAATGACAACCACTACACCAACAACCACAACAACTACACCACCAACAACCACAACAACTACACCCATAACCACTACACCAATAACCACAACAACTACATCAACAACAACCACAACCACTACACCAACAACAACCACAACCACTACACCAACAACCACAACCACTACACCAACAACCATAACCACTACACCAACAACAACCATAACCACTACACCAACAACCACAACCACTACACCAACAACCACAACCACTACACCAACAACCACAACCACTACAACCACAACCACTACACCAACAACTACAACAACCACACCAACAACCACTACACCAACAACCACAACTACACCAACAATCACAACCACTACACCAACAACCACAACAACTACATCAACAACCACAACCACTACACCAACAACAACCACAACCACTACACCAACAACCACAACCACTACACCAACAGCCACAACCACCATACCAACAACCACAACCACCATACTAACAACCACTACACCAACAACCACAACCACTACACCAATGACTACAACCACTACACCAATTACCACAACTACTACACCAACAACTACAACTACACCAACAACCACAACAGCCACAACCACTACTCCAACTACCACAACCACTACAACCACTTCACCAACCACAACCACAAAACCAACAACCACAACCACTACACCAACAACCACAACCATCATACCAACAACCACAACCACTACACTTACAATCACAACCACTTCCCTACCAACAACTACAACCACTACACCATCAACTGCAACCAGCACACCAACAACTACAACCAATACACAAACAACAGCCACAACAGCTACTTCAACAAGAATGGCCACTCAACCAACAACCACAACTAAGGCAACTGCAACAACAATAACCACTCCACCAACAACCACAACAACACTAACAACAATTACTACACCAATGACCACAACAACAATACCAATAACAACAACTTTACTAGCAACCACAACCAATGAAACAACAACCACATCTATCAACCCAACAACTATTATGTCAGCAACCACAACCACTACACCAACCACAATGACAGAAACAACAACCACAACAACTACACCAAGAACCACAACCAATACTCCAACAACCACTACATCAACATCTACAACCACTTCACCAACAACCTCAACAATGATGACAACAACCATAACCACTTCACCTACAACCAGTACATCCACAGAGGAATCAACATCTGATTCATCAGATATAACGACAACAGAATCAATGAGTTCATCTACAACAGAGTCATTAGATATAACCACAACAGAAGACTCTTTAACAATGTCTACAACAGAATTATCAAGCACAGAAACATCAGACACAGACATTCCAAGCTCAACAGTCAGCTCAACTGTGACCCCTATACCAACTACAGTAACAACTTCTACTACACCAACAACCACAACCACTACACCAACAACTACAACAACACCAACCACAACCACTACACCCCCAAATACAACAACAACGACAACCACTACACCAACAACCACCACTACACCAACAACCACAACCATTACACCAACAACCACAACTTCAGTGTCTACAACAAGCACTAAAACAAAGGCAACAACAACAACAGAGTCAACAACTACAACCCCTGTAACTACAGTAGAAACTACGACTGTGAGACCTAATGAGAGAAGATTTATATTTGTGATAAGAATTTTGATTGTGGTGACTGAGGATCTCACTATCAGAGCCCAGTACTTACTTGTGGTGATCAGGGCTGAAGCTGCAGTGAGTAGACATAGATATTTCTAAAGTTCTTATAAATCAGTATCACATTCATAAAAATGCCCCAGAGTTACTCAACCTATATGAAATATATGAAACCTTTAAAGGCATTTTTTTGTTTGAAGTTGACAGCTCTTTATAGAAGAAGGCTTGGTAGTCGGTTCAAAAGATGTAAAGTAAGGGGAGTAAGGTAAGTCCCTTTGGATAAATGGCAGTTGAAATATAGTGAAAAAATTTGCCGGATTAGACAACATCCCAGATTAAAATTAAAATTAAATTATATCAAATTAAATTAAAATTTCTTATTAAGCAAGATTTCCTAATAAACAACATCTGGATTAGAAAAGGTTTACTGTACTTGTAATGTAGCTGAAATCATATAAACTTGATCAGTTTTATAAACAATATAACACATGAAATGCAGCCTCTCTTTTGTAGGCCAAAGGGGCATTGTTTGAACTTTCACAAAATATATTTTTTGCCTTTTGACAACACTGAAAACAATGACAGCAGTAACTCAGCCACACACATTTTCCGAGAAAATGAAGAAAGTTATTCTGAAATGTTGAATTTTAATAAATTATAGTTAAATCCCACCTTAAGGGTAAAATAGCTAAGTTTAACAGTCGCTAAAATAACCTATCATATCGTATTGTTGTGGTATTTTCTTTTAAGAAAGGGAAGCTTGAATGTTGAATATGACATCATTACTGATGACGAGGCAGCAGCAACCTCTGATGTAGTGTCTGTTGCTAAAGACCTGGTGTCTGGGAAAGAAAACGTGACTTATGATGGACAGGAAGCGCCAATATTGTCTGCTGCTTTTGTTGACACGTCCGGAAATAATGGTAATGATCTACGAAACTTTATCATCAAAAATAAAATGGTACTGAGCTTGTACAAGATAATTTTTAACTGAGTGTAAAAACGAGAAATAGAATTTGAGTTAAAATGATCCTTTCGTCTACAAAACTTGTCCTATTACATGTAAGAACTTTGACCTATTAAAGGGTGTTAAAAAAGTTTATTACATTTTCAACAGTGAAATACTGTAATTTATTTACTGAATAAAAGCGATATTCTGACACAGTGTGAAAGGATATCAAAATGGTATTCTCACAGTGTGAAAATATCAGAAGTGCGACAAAACTTACGATTTTCCTTCCCATCACTAAGAGTGTTTTTTTTTTTTTTTTTTTTAAAAATCCCTGGCCTGTCATAAGATAGAGTTAAAGCCATCCTGACAGAGACTAATAGTTATACTGCCTAAGTTTTTCCAAATTCCATGTTTACAACGTTTTTCAATCTCGCAATCGCTCAGCTATGACATCTCAACCGCTCAACTATGATGTCACAGCCTGTGACACTGAGTTACGAAAAGACAGAGGCAAAGGGAAACTCTAAGAAAATGCAATAAACAGAAATTTCTTTCACTCATGAGACAGGACTTTTTGATATTTTCACTCGTGCTTTGCACTTGTGAAAATATAAAAAAAAAATCCTGTCCCACTCGTGAAATAAATTCCATATTCATCTACAATACATAAAGTACATTGAATATCCTCTATTTATTCCACATTTTCCTCAGTTCTCGTGAAGATATTTAAATTCGTGATATTTTTATGTTCTGGTAGTCCACTCTTGCTTTTGAAAAGGTTTTAGTTGTCTTTTCGTATGAAATACATATAGGAAGGAAGATAACCATACAGATAATATATCTTCTGTACAGCAAAATCACAGAATATCTGTGAAATATTCTTTCTAATACTTATATATACAGATTTTATCAAATCAATAAAGAATCATGTAGGCAAACATGCTCTTTTGAAAAGCAGTTGTGCTCTATTTTCACAAAACTTGTCAGTTTTGTTTGATGAAAAAGAATCTGTAAAGTAACAGAAGTAACAAATTCTACATCGTTACCAAAGTAACCATTGCAATTCTCGATGATGTACAATTTTCGTATCGAAACATACATGTAATTTATAAAATTTTCTGCTAAACATGTATTGCTATAAATTTGAATTGCAATCAAGTGATTTTGTCAGACTGAAAAAAAATGGTCTCATTAGTTTAACTCTTAGAAAACTTTCAGAAATATGTCATTGTGGAGCGAACTTTCTAAGCACTCTTTAGAATATTGTTTCGTCATAATTCGAAGACGACCAGGTCTGAGTACGATGATTTAATGGTTTATGCATGGTTTGTGGTGCAAAAACAAATTCATTGCTTTTTACATTGAATACTTATATTATGAACACTAGAATAATGCTTATGAGAATGAAAGACCTTGAAGTACTTTTTCAGTAAATATAAGCCGCTCTACTACGGGATGTGAACTTTTAGAATCTTCCGCCCCCTGTGACACAGGATATGACTGCTATGAAGGGGAGACAGGTCCCTATTGTCGGTGTGTATGATTCAGTGAAATCCTGATAAAGTTTTGTTTTTTTTCATGAATACACTATATTTTGCCATAAATTATACATCTTTTTCTTAAAATAATCTGCATTACTTTTCAGAGCCTCATCAAATTATGATCAACAAAGTAAGCATGTTACTTTTGTTTCAAATTTATCATCTTTCTTGTCAAGATGCATAAAAATGTATGTGTACGAAAGTCATAGTATTTGCTTTTTTTGTATATGCTTACTAAGCACACCTCTATTTCTGATTTCAGTGTTGATTATAATAAGTGCTGTGGTAGGGGCTATTTGTTTAATTATTACCACGGCTGTGATTCTGGTGTTGTGTATATGTTGTAAAAAGCAGCAAAAGAAAGAAGAAAAATATCATTATGGTATTGAGAATCCAGCTATGATACCGGTAAGGCTTATAATTATGTATGATAAAATGAGATCAAAATTATTATCTAAGGTATAAACAGCTTTTTCATGCAAGACAAGCCATATCTTGTTATTGAAGAAGAATATTGATTAATAAAAATGATAAATGTCAAAAGGGTAATTGAGTTTTAACATTAAGAACATTATTTTATGCGTTATTTCAATATAGAATAAATAAAGTATATAGAATTAATAAAGATCATATTTATAACCCTTGAAAAAGGTCACTATAATTAATTGATAATATGATAACGGTACAGCATAAATGTCCAAAAGAGTGTCAACAGCTTACGTGTATCTTGAAATATGAAACATTGCAATTAGTTGGTCTCTGTGCAGATCAGTCAGCTTTTCTCCAAAAATGAAGTAAAAAAAATGTCCTTTTTTGTCTGACAATTCTTATTCCGACGCTGTTAAAGTAATCCTTAGATTTTACCAAAGAATCCAGTTAAATTTTCGTTTAATGATTTAATATAGGCATTTTTGGCATAATTGGAGTTTTTTATAAGCTTCTATAGTAGGTTTTGAACTATTCTTTTTTCAGGACGAATTTTACTCTAATGGTCGACTTAAATATGAAATGGACAGCAACAGAAGTTATGACTCTACTGGTATGAGCAGTCCATTTTACGGAAGGAGATGGTATCCTGGATACAGCGATTTGGCTCCTAATGGCACGTGGCATCAACAGCCAATGAACAATGCTAAATACTCCATACCAAGGCCTAAATACTAGCATAAATTTAGAACTTTTAGAAATATTATTCATTGAATGCGCATTTAGCAATTCTTATTGAGTTTCCATTAATGCAACCCATTCAATATATATTTACCGAATTTTAGAAAAACACATGTGCCAAATATATGTTTATAATTATTGTGCAATATGTTTAGCTATGCAAATGACTTAAAATGTACTTCTTCCATATGTATTTTCATAATAAAATGACATAATTATTGTTCAGTTTGCTTGTTGAATAACCATAAAAAGAACTTAAAAGATACATATAAATACTTAATTTATGTTGTCCTCTGGTGTATGATAATTGATTTGAATGAGGATGATACATCTTTGTCTTCCTGCATATTGTTCATTCAAGGTTATGATAATAGATTATTTAATTATTAATAAATAGGTTTATTTTGGTGTTGTGATTTTTTTGATATACGACTAGGTGTGTGGATTTATACTTTATATATATGCGGAGTACTGAAAATTCAAGTATAGGCCTACAAACATTCTTTGTAAAAATGAAATGAACATATTTTGAATTGCAGTTTCCCACATGTATGCAATCAGTGCCCCCATGCTCTAAATCATTCTTACAAAGCAAGGATCTATTATGATAAAACAGTCTTAAATTGTTTGCTTCAAAGAAAGAAATGGAGCATTGATTTCTTTGGTATGAAGTATTAAAGATAACTCCTTTACTTTTCTGAAGATAACAAAAATAGGTTGACACGTAGTGTTGAGTAGGCAATGTCAGATCCCATCATTTACCTACACATAAGTTGAAAAGATTTTACATAAAAATAGATTAAAGAATTAATTATAAGAGCACAGAGCATTAAATTTCAAGCAAGAAGACCAAAGGACAATCATCACTATGAGCTAATCTGGCTCTGTGAAACTCTTTGAAATCAAAATATGTTTAATTTTAGTTGAATTACTTTGGACCGTAGTGACTACATTACTATTCATAATGGCGTCTCATTTGACGATGTATTATGACGACATGAATTACGTCATTATTTCAATATCCTAAATATTTCTTTAGAAATTGTCCAGATGTTATAAATTCTGCCTTTTTATACACTGTTACCTTTTTAACTGTATTATATGATATGGATTTCTTATAACAGTGATTAGTCGGCCTTTGGAACGTTTTGAAGCGTGGGCCGATGTACTGAGAACAATCCTTGAAACGTAAATGCCATGCATGGTGCTATTGTTCAAACGTATATCATGTTTACATGGTTTATTTCATTCAAATATATTTAAAGCAATATGAGCTGCAACCTTGATGTCAGAAATTTTTGTTGCAAAATTGTAATTAACTATTTCAATGACAAAAAGAACGTTTATAAACTTTTGTTAATCATATTTGCGATGGAAGATCTATTCATAAAGTTTGATTGAAGCAAAATTACATTAATGTCGTCCTGTACAATATTGATTTCTTATGTAATGATACATATGCGATTGTAAAGAAATAATTCTTCTGAAACAATTTAGTACTTTATTTTAGTCTAATTGATCATAAAAGTTTAAAATACATAGAAATTGATTTTAATATAAAAATAAAATTCTCAAAAATGCAGCTCATATTGCTTTAACAAAAAATGTCTCATAATCTCTTAAACTTTTAAAATTTATGATATATTTACCGATGATACATCCATTACGTTTCAAGTCGAAAGAGTAATTTCTAACCCGACTGCACACAACTCAATACTCACGTGAAAATAGGAAAATAACGGTAATATACCCATTCTTATATTTAATTTGTTTTTATTTATATTTCTGTGATTGCAATTGCGTAAAAAATTACTAAAAGACAAGTTATAATAACAACAAATATTTTTTTTTCAAATCAGCAAAGCAGCAAATGCTATTGATCCCAACGTAAATGACATCACTTCCGTTATGCACGCACTCAAATTCACAACTCCGACTCCGTAGCGAGGGGAGAACTATGGGATTCTGGTTATTTTATCCAGACACTTGAACCATGATACACTTACAATTGTATTTATTCTAAGCAGTAGGAGTAGGGGGTCCTGTAAACCTAGATGAAATATGGAGATACCGAACTGTTATCAATGGATTTTTGAGCTTGATAACAATACAAATCGGGAGCAGAACAAACACGGACCTCTAAACACCATTGGAGGCGGGATCAGGTGCCATGGAGGAGTAAGTATCCCCTGTCGACTGGTCACACCCGCCGTGTGCTCATTGTCATGATAGGACAAACGGACAATTACTTGTTTAGAAAATGGCCTAACAATTTCTTTTGAAAAAAAAACAAACACGTCAGCATCATTCGACTTAATGATACGTTGTATTTGCTGACAAGGTCATTATCGACCATAGAACTTGAAAATGATGACTTTAAAGGAGACTGCTGATATCCTTGTTTCACAACTTGTTAGTCAATAGCTTGCCTCGTTTTAGAAATAGTTCGTGTGTGGAGCATGGTCTTGCGTATCGAAGCAACTGGGAGATAAACCCCATATGGAGGTGATAAGGGTATTTAGCTACATAAATAAGGAAAGCTAACGATAGAAAAGTTGAAGTCATCACGTTTATCTATAAGTTTTGTTGTTAGGTTACCATCAACGTCTTTTCTGGTAAAATATCCAAATATGAAAGAGATGTGTCTAACTCTGTGGTGCAATTCCTTTTGACTGTTAACTGTTCCGTCCTTGACCCTTCCTCTAACATCAACCAAATATGAAGGTCGAATTATTGTATTGTGGGTGTCACACAGCCCCCTGTACTATGTTTCCCATTTTGGTCAGGCTTGCTGGAGGATATGAGGGTCTTGTAACCAAATTAACAGTCAACTGGTCAGTCTGTGTCTCCTCCCCTGACGAAAGACAGAAGTCGAATTAAGGGATTGTGGATGTTTATCCATGTTTCCAACTCCTTCGTACTATGTTTCCTGCAGAACTATATTTTATGCACTGCGACCATTTTGGCCAGACTTGCTAGATGGATTAGAGGACGCGTAAGCCTAATTCCTTTGATAGTCAATTTGATCCACTCAACCCCTCTCCCCCGGATGTAAAAAATAAAGAAACCAGGATTCTTTATCTTTTTATCTATTGATTTCTTTTAATCATTCATTTCTCCTTATTTTTCAAGAAAGGAATATACCATATACCATAGAAAATAGCTGAAAAGATTTCATCTACATATTTTTAAAATCCTGCAAAGTTAAAAATATAGAAGAACATAAGATCAGTTCTAATTCTTTTTCGTTGTTGTTCTCAGTAGACGGGACATGCAGTTTACATATTTAATCTTTCTCTAATCAGGATATAATAAAATTATGCTCCTTACATCCTGTGCACAGGTTATAGACCAGCTTTTCTCTTTACACTGTGGTAGTGACATTAATGTTAATCGATGTATGATGTGATTGAGAAATATTTATGAAAATGTAAGAGCAAAGAAACCTTGACAAAGGCAAGCCCTTGACAAATCAGGTTTTTTGGGTTATATTTATTTTTCACAAATTTTAACATCATTTTTGAAAAAAAAATCTATTTTATCCCATAACTTTAGTTGGAGAAAATGTCAGCGACGATACAGTGTAAATAAAAAAAAGTCTTTACATAATACTTGCTCGACGAATGTTTATAATTATTTAGAACTTTTTTTTAATGCTGAGAATTTCTTTATCAAACAAGACAAGTATTTTTCCTTCTCGATCTCTATAATTAATATATTAACACGTGAAACTAAAACCTCATTGTAACATATATATTTAACAACACCACAATAGGCATACACGTAATTTCAGAATCCGTATGTCTTCAAAGTTAACGTTCGCCAATATCCTGAAAATGACGTTGATAATGATATTAACAATTGATTAATGTGGATGTTGTATCTTTCATTGATAATCTTATGACCACGATAAGATGCACAAATCTAATTTGTACTTAACAGTTTTGGTTACTTTTTGTTCATTGGATGTTTACTTAATACTTGGATTTCATCTGCCTATTCCCAAAGATATAGATGGCGAAGAAGTGGGTATGGTATTATAAATCATGAATTATTATTTGATTGAGATACATACGCTAAGTATTGTATTAGTTTTACTTACCCAATATACATTACAGTCATACCCAATATACATTACAGTCATACACAATGTATTTATAATGTTTTATTTAGATTTCTTCTCTTTAACAAATTTGTCTTCACTTGTTAATCCTATAATATTCATCCGCTGAATATTTTTTTCATTTATCTCTTTTGAACCCATATTGGATTTATCTGGAGCAATAACAAAAATCGACTGCATTCATCCACTCAATGATTTAGTGAGAAATATTAACAACAGAATGTCTTTCTTGATTCTGTTTATGGTGTTTGATGGGTTAAAGAAAAAAAATGAAGACACTCCCAACTGAGAGACTTGTCATTTGTTGCTCTGGATAAATGAGGGATTTTTTAAATCAAAAGGTTGGGATTTGTTGGTGATTTTTTGAAAAAAAAACCCATTACATCTTTGAAACCATTCCGTTTTTTAGAAGGAAATTTATGCAACAGTTATATAGTTATCCTGACCTTTGCATAATGACCCTTACTCTCGAGTTTTGTCTCTTTACCTCAATAAATGCAACTGTTGAGTGACATTATACTGAGTCGAGCACTCTCAACTTCTACAACGAAGCAAGATGAAATCATTCATAATGAAATTATAATTCACTTGACCTTTGAGATATCAGCTTGAGTCATGGCCTTGAACATTGTTGAAGGATAAGTACGGAAGTGATTATCAAGACATCCTCCTATAAAGTGTTAGAAATATAGACTCATCGGCTACAATGAATAGGTACTTTTGATTGAAAGACAAAAAGTATTTATCAGTGGTTATAATGACATAAACATTTCAGACATTCATGATCTCAATTATGTCTTTGTTTTTATCATATAACCAACATGACCAAAGCAAATACAAGTTTTGTATTAAATGATTATTTTTTTCAGCAAATTACAATGTATATGCCATTAAATAAATATAATGTTATTCGACCTATGAAGTTCAACTCATATTTTAAATAATAATTAAGATTTGTTCTAAATGAATTAGAGGGCAATTAAAAACACGACTACTTGACTGACAAATAGACAGACGGAGAGAGGGCGTACTTAATTTAGTTTTTTCAAGTGAGGATTTAAAAATTCACTAAAACACAGAGGAGAGAAAAGAGCGACAAATAGTTAAAATTTCACCATGCACTCGAAATTGTTCTGAGAGAAATGCTTGTACTGAAAATGAAATCTGAAAACTAGAACATGTATAACATATTGTTCACAAAAGAAAATCAAATTTCAAACCCGAATTCGATCATGATCTGAAAAAACATATAATTCCTAATTCAAGACGAATAATTTCTCAATAACTATACTTTATATTTATTTCATTTTACTCATTTGATTTCAGTTTCAGTATATTTCGCTTAAACCATATATAATGGTACATTATAAAGAACATAAAGTATAAACATTATTAAATAGTCAGAGGTACATATAACATATATACCTAGATAAATATTTTTTAACTACATGGAGAAAGGACAGACATATAATAATAACAGTGTATATGTAATCCATGCATGGAAGAACACCAGGAAAATGATGATGGGGAACAGACAGTGTCAAATTAAAGATATTTGAAATAAATGTACAAGTTTTAGCAAAGATTTAACATTGAATTTGACATGAGTTCGGTAAAACTTCACAACGTTAGATCTACCTCAGTGTTTAATATCTAAATATTTTTTCTTTATTACGTTAGTTATATTTCATATATAAAATTACACAAAAATACTTATGTAACACATGCTCTTTACATGTTGTATATCTCTGCAAATTATTTGGAAAATAATGATGTCTCTCTATAATGGTTAAACATAGAATGTGCTTAAAAAGAAGTAAATGGTTTGCATTACATGACTGAAAAGATATGAACTGGACAAAACTAATTATGAAAATGTAATATTGCATTATGTTTTGCCAGTAAAATTAGTGTTTATAAATAAATAGCAGTTGTTTTACTACCAGTTGAAAATGGAAATTGGTTAAACCGAACAATGCTTAACAAAATGTAAACTTTTAAAGAGAAAATTTTACCAGCTCTTTCGTTTGAAGCAAGTTTCAAATCTTGTAGGTGAAGTCGTTATAAAGGTAAAGGAAGATGGTGAACGAATTCGACGTTCAACGGACGGCGTGAGTGTTCCCTCCAAAAGTATGATAATCACATTTCCACTCAATGATGGACTGGTAGACCTTCATTTACATAGAAAAGACGATTTGTCTGTCAATGTTCCAGTGTATACCAGCGATACCGGAGGAAACATTGTCAGGAAATTAATACCCAGCAAAAATGTGAGTTCATCAAAAGGGTTCATATATTTGCACTTGGATTTTGAATAATTATCCAAGTTGGCCAGATGTCTTCAAAAATAATATGCATGTAAGATAAGACTTTTATTCTTTTTATGTAGTTTCTTTGAACCATTAGTTAATATCTGAAACTCTCTTAAAGTCTATGATCATTGGATCGGTTTCTTTAAAGTTTGAATATCTACTTTGTGAATTTTTACATTATTTCCTTTTTTGTAGAATGTTTTTTTCTATCAAGATCGACAAAAGTTTGCTGCTTTTTACATCGAGACTACTGATTCATCGTCTTGTTTGGTAGGTTAACATAAAACATAAATCAGATCCCTCACTTGAAAACATTGTTTAAAAATTCTATATTTGTGTGATTTTCCATGTTCTATATTTTTGGACACTAGCTACTATGCGTGGTGTCTCTCTGACGGGCTAGAACAGGAACAGAACTGATACATCATTTCGCATTTTTGGCTTCACTTCTAGTTTTTTTTTTTTTTTTTTTTTTTTTTTTTTTTTTTTTTTTTTTAAAGCAAATTGACAAGCAGCAATATCAGGCTCTAGGACTTCAAATAGAAAATATATTATGAAACGTTCTATAGAAATTTATTTGTAATTTTTACATATTCAACCTTTTGCCAGTTTGGAAACTTTGAGTACCAATCAAATGAATTCTTTTTGGAGCCAAGAAATGCAGAGTGCGATGACTCAAGGCAAAATCCATTGTTGTTTAAAATTTTCAAGATCAAACATAGCCATTTTCAGTACAACGACTCGATGACAATTGGTAAATATATTTAAATGACACGTATGTGTTTCAATGTTTAACCGCATGACTTATAATTTCTTTTTATGCTTTCCATTGTGCATAAATTGATAAATGTGCAAAATAATTCATAAAACATAATTCAACAAATCAGGCAGTTCATTAATTAAAAAAAAAAAATGGAAATGCTAACGTATTTAATGTAAATCATCACCTGAATTACTATTATTACAACAACCAGTTCCATTCCTTAGCCATGTAGGTATTTGATTTATTTGGTATTAAATCTTTGATCTCTTGTAATGTCTTGATTCTATAAAATTCATCAATGTTAATCAATTTTTAGTTTCCTAACTGTTATTTGAAGTCACATATGATATTAATATGTTTGGAAAATTTTTTTTATCTGAATCCTTATGGAAGGAGAGATGAATATTCAACCGATACCCAGTGAAACCAGGTCAGCTAATGTGAAGCGATCAGCGACTGAGTACAAAGTGGAGATGCTTTTGATTATAGACTATTCCATTTACAGCTAGTAGGTGGTATTTGAGGTTTTTTTGTATAAATATGTCGATAGAACGAACTATGCAGTTGTTATCCTTTCTTCTGGTTAGAATACATAATAATTGCACAAGGATGAAATATATGGAGATAACGAACAGTATACAAGCTCAAAAGTCCATTTAAACAATACAAATCAGGAGCAGAGCAAACACGGGTCTCTAAAACATCAGAGGTGGGATCAGGTGCCATGGAGGAGTGAGCATCCTCTGCCGACAGGTCAAACTCGCCGTGTGCTCCTTGTCATGGTCGGGATATAACGGAGAAATCCGTAGACATTTCAGTGTTTAAATAATGGACTAACAATTAGTATGAAAAACGTCAGTCAGCTTTTGACTTGATGATAGATTGTATATGCTGACAAGGTCATTGTAGCCATCATAGAACTTACAAAATGATGACTTTAAACGAGACTGTTGATATTCTTGTTTCATCACCTTGTTTGTCAGTAACAAACCTCGTTTAAGAAATTGGTCATACATAGAGCATGCACTTGCATATCTAGTCAATTGTGAGATATAAATCCCGTATGCAGGTGATAATTGTATATTGCTGCATAAGTAAGGGAAGTTGACGATTGAAAAGTTAAAGTCCTCACTTTTATCATAAAACGTAGTTGTGAAGTTACCATTAACGTCATTTTCTAGTAAAATATCCAAATATGAAACAGATGTGTCAGACTCTGTGGTATTTTTTATTTCAAGCTCACTGGAATATATCGTGTCGACATATGAATAGAAGTATCTATTGTTAATTGATAATACGATGTGATGGAATAAGGTTTAAATACAAGAACGCACAATGATTTAGGATTTTTTCTGTTCATTTTACCTTGAAACATACAATTATATAAGTTCTTGGCGAAGTGATCAGACCTGTAATGCTTCATTTGAAATGTCATCTGGATCACTGGGTCATTCAAGTGATCAACATACATTGCTGTTGTTGTCGTGCGTTTGGTGTAAACATTTGAAAAAGTTCAATCTTCTTTTTAAAACGTTTGTAGTGAATCCATGATTTGATCATTTCAGAACTGCAATTTTAGAAAAACATATATTAAATCACTAAATATTGTTTATCAACCATAAATTCATTTATGCATGACCTTGACAGTTGGTTCACTCAAAGCGCAACAGGGACAACTGCAGCAAGGGACACTGAAGCTAAATACAACATAAGGCAATTCTATGCCTGGGTTATAAATGGGGTATGTCACGTATGTGTTTTCATTTAATTCAGTTAAGATAATTGTACTTTATTGCATTCATACTTGACCTATAGGCCACAACTATGTAATGTCAAGGTCACTACAAAAGTTGTTTTCTTTTGTGTTAGAATACTGCATTTTTCATAGATTGCTTCACTGGGGCGAAGAAACTAATTGGCTATTGGAAAAATGACTTTAAATTGTTTACGTTATAGATGGATATCCGGTACAAGAACATTCAAACAGCAGCATACATGATCTCGGTTGTTTACGCAGGAATCTATATTGCTGATGTAAGTAGTGTCAAAGCAATACACAGATGATGAGGTAAAATTATAAATCCGTAGTTTAAATGATATAAAATAACGACCTAACATTCGGTGCAAAACATTTCAGTCGAAGTAGGATCCAATGATAGGTTATATTTGCAAATAAGGTCGTTGTATTGAACATAGAATTAACAAAATGCTGACTTTAAATAAGATATTATTGTTGAAAACCCTGTAACATCTGCTTATTAGAAGTGATCGTAAATAGATTATGCTCTGGAATATAGAATCAGTTGGGAGACATAAACAACATATGCATGTGATTGTAGAATATAACTACATAAAAAGGGGAAGTTGACAATAGAAAAGTTAAAGTCATCCCGTTTGTCATATAGTTCATTTTTAGTAGTCCATTAAAATAATTAGTCAGTAAAATATCCACGTATAAAACAGAGGTGGCAGACTCTGTGGCGTCCTTTATTTCGTGTTCACGAGGAAACCAGTTGACAAATAAAAAATAAATGAAAATAACTATTCATGAAATGTCGTCGATATATCAAAATGTTGTTGTGTTAGCTACAGCAAGAGATTTCTTCATCTCATATAGAAGTTTATATATTAACTTTTGTTTCTACTTCTTTTTTTTTTTTTTTTTTTTATCAATAATGCTTTATTTTGCCATTGTGACTGATTTAATTATTATATGTTTTAATTTATAAAAATTAATTTGAATAATTTTAAGGAAAAAAGAATTAAATCTTGTTAGAAATGTTACGATATTTTACTCTACTCAATTTAATTTTATCATTCAAAATACTTTTAAGACCGCTGCAAAGTCTTCTTTTACCGAAAACCACAAAGACTCCTCCAGCCCAAAGCCGAAGGTGGATGCAGGCAAAGTGTTGGATGACGTCACATCCTGGATAAACGGTGAATCCGGTCTTCCTGGTCATGACCATGCAATGATGTTTTCAAGGTTCAAGAACACAGAATAGCCAGCACGATTATATATATATATATATATATATATATATATATATATATATATATATATATATATATATATATATATATATATATATATAGTTTTTTGCAGTGTAATAATTATGAAGTGAAAATATTTCCTTTTTGAATGGTTAAATAAAGACTTTCAGCGTATTCGTAATTATCGTTTCTAAAAAAATGATAGAATTAAAAACTAAAACCAAAGGCTTTTGCAAATAATCAATACAGTCATTCCATTGTATTTCACTTGAATTCTCATAATAATCCATCTTATACTTACACTCTTTCCCACAATGTGTGCTCAAAGAAAGTATTCAAATAATTTTATTTTAAAGTCGGAAAGCCTCTCTGATGATTTAGAAATAATAGTAAAAAAAATTAAAATGATTCATCTGTAAATGTGATCTTGTTCTGTAACTACGTCTTCCTTTAACATAGAAATAAATTTAGAAATAAGAACTAGATTTAGCCTAATAAAATATTAATCATGACTTCACAATAAGAAAGTTTATCAAGAAATGTTTCAAATACAACGTCCTTTCTCAAATAAAGCTTGTCTGAAAATTAAAAAAAAAAGATAACAAAATTAATATGATTGTCAAGCCATTTTTTTCTTGAGGGAGGATGGGGCATTAATTTTGGTGGTTTTTGGCATCATGCAAATTTAAAATAGTATCAGAAGCGTGCAATTTAATTGAAGGTCGAAAGTGGCGAAATCTTGATAACTTACGAAGAAATTTTGATTGGAATGACATACCGTGAACTATTTTTCAATTCAAATTGGAACTTAATCAAACGATGTAGTCTTGTTGTGTACACTTGATCATGAGGCCTTAGTGTTTCTGTTTGCATTAAATATATAATTTATTTTTCTCTCAGATATGATTTTACAAGTGGAGGCTCGAATGACATTGCTGGCTTGGCTTTTGTGTCAAAGGTGTGCACATCTCAGAGCGTGTCTATTGTCGAAGATAACTTCGACTTTGTCATACTTACGGTTGCTGCGCACGAACTTGGACACAGGTACATGGACAAGTGTAGGAAAAAAAATCGTATTAGAATAATTAAACTGAAAGGTTATTTTTCAATGATTTCCTGTCACTTTATAAGCTTGGGTGCAGTTCATGATGGAGCAGACAGTTCTTACATAATGGCTGCGTCGGCTTCTCCTCCTCAAAATACAAACCCTTGGAAATTTTCAACACAGTCCACAAACTCCTTTACTACCTATATCAATTCCCTCAATTCGTAAGTATTCCACAATTTAATGAGTTCTGATAGTATAGAATTTGCAAAGAAAAGGTTTATCATCGTATAAATATCTTAGGATCTAGCCAGTCTTTGTGTTTAAGGGCAGGGACCAATTGCATGACGTCGTTAAGTGAAACCTTCGACCCAACAGCTTTAAACAAGTTTACAGGGTTGCCAGGACAGGCTTACGATGCGGACACGTATTGTAAAAATATATATGGGTCTGGATCAGCTCTTTGCAAAGTAAGTCTCGACTCTGTAAGAGTCGTTACGTGTAAAAATCCTATTGGCTATGTCATTGTTACAGCATAATATGATTGGAAAAGAGCTACACTATCAATATTGATAGAATAATTGCAATTACGTGTAGTTAATATGCATAATACCTCTTTAGGCAATAAGATATTGTTCAGTTATCTGGTGTTTTGCTAACAAATGTATAACTTTACAATCAAAACCCATCGTAAAAGTCTGAGGAAAAGTAGCGGGTACATTTATTACTAAAAAATATATAAAATAGCGATTTTTTTACAGGCGATATATAAAGGAAATTACACTTCAATCTGTTTAACTTTGTGGTGTCTGAACACAGAGAGATCTGGGGATTGTCTGGCCTCTGTGGCAGGAGACGGTATGCAATGTGGACACAGAAAGGTGTGTAATAAATTCTAGACTTTCCAGTGATGTGTACTGAGGACTGCTAATTTGTTTCTGTCTGTGTACGCAGATGACACTTCCTTACGGAAAATCTTTATTTTTGTTTTAAAAATAAACTTCAAACAAATGTCATTTATCTGTTTAAAAGTTGTTTTTTCTGTTTCAGTGGTGTATATCTGGAGTCTGTACGTATGATGTTTGTGCTCCACCAGGGGACGGTAAGACAATTTCACTGTACCTATATCGTGCCATTATCCTACCAATATGACATTTCTTGCTTTTATAAATTGATCATTTCTAATAATAATTTATTTCGTTTAATTTTTTAACTGCTGTTAACAATATGAAAATCTTTACAGAAAAAAATGGCAGAATGTTTAACTTTTATTTGGCACATAATGGCGGTTACATACTCATAATTAAGTGGAATGCCATTAAAAATACAATATTTCGGCTAACCAATCAAATTAATCAAATGACACAACATCACACAAGTCCAAAAGCCATTCTTCATAAACACACACAAAAACATTAAATGACCACCCAGGGTTTTCTGCGAATGGTTACTTATTTAAATATTTACAATGAATGAAATAAAAGGAAGTAATAGAACCTTGCATAAAATGCATATACATGTATTTGTCGAAGAAAACCACGAATCATGTTTTTCACGTGCACATTGATTTCACATTCAAAGTTCCACTTCACAATTTACAGTAAGATCCGGGTTTATTTATGACAGAGGTATATAATTAATACTAGTACATATTTTTTTTTCAGATTAAAGAACCCCAACTTTGCACTTTCTCTGCATCTAGCAAATGATTCTAAAAAAGAATATATCCAAAGCTTCCCAATTTCTTTTATTTGACCAAGAAGACCACAGGCCTATCCCGCCCAAAAGTAAGATCTAGATTTTTTCCCGTAATAAAGTAATCGATTTTGAATGCATTTCAGAATCTTGTTTATATGGTGAAAGATCTGGCACTGTATTGGTATACAACGGAAAGGAGAAAACGTGTGTTGACGTCACCAGAGAACCATACCTGTGTTACGAAAAGGACATTAGCGCATACTGTTGTAAATCCTGCCCTCGTTTTTATACCGGAAGGCAAGGTAAGCAAACATTAGAAAGGTGTCATTCAACAGGCAGACTCGGATGTAAGTACGCTGGTAATGTGTACAACATTTTTACAGGATGTGAGTATGGGGATAAATTGTCCGGCTGTTCATCTCAATATTGTCCTCAGTATAAAGATGACAAATGCTGTGGATTTTGTTATTCTGGAGCTACACAAACCACAGACACTGTCACCACAACAGAGGAACCCGACTTATGCAAGACAACAACAATTATGATGAAAGTATCAGAGAATTCCACCACCAACAATACTAAATTTTCCACGATAACAACACAAACAACACATTCAGGCTCTCCTCAACCACATAAGAATGTAACATCAACTTCTGAACCTCGCCAGTCGCAAGCAACATTTACAGGACATTTATCTACTGTTCCAATAAACACAACGACAATAGCGTCTTACACAGACTTTCCAGTAAACGAGAAAATAAAATTTTCTTTTGTTTTACGGATGGCAATAGTATTAAGGGAGAATTTATCTGATAACACGGAATATTCATCTGTAAAGGGAAAAGCTGAAACAGCAGTGAGTTTTGACATGAATTTTCCCACAGAAGCTCAAATATTCTTTATTTTTGATTAAGTGATATGTATTAATTTTCTGCAGGTAAAAATTGATAATGTGGCTTAAATTCCGTCTACCTGATCAATAGCTCACGGTAGGTGTGACCGATCGACAGGGGATACTTACTCCTCCTATAGGTACCTGATCCAACCTCTGGAATTCCTGGGGTCCATTTTTATGCCATGTTCACATATTGTTTTTTTGTTGGTAGATTTTTTTTTTTTAGAAAAATTGTTCTGTTCGTTATCTTCACTTTTTTCCATCAAGATATGAAGATGAACCAATCTTTGTCTTGTTTTCGCTTTCATCCGTGACTGCTGCAGGCGTGTTGAAATTAGTGTTATCAAATACTTTGGTCATTTGTTTTTAAGAATGATGACCTGCTATTTTCTTTCTTAGGTTTATAAGTATAGCAAACGTGTTTCCAGAGTCCATTAATACTCAAAGTCCACGCACCCTCCTCAACTAGTTTAGGTTCAGTTGCAATCAGTTAAAAGTTTATTATAAGAGATGTGTACTTTGTTATATTTTTTCTTATTTCTTAAATGCAACTTCAAATAATGGTAGCTATCTTATTTTAAGAATATTTGCAGGCAATAAAAAAGTAAAATATCTAATATAATGGTTGAAGTACATGTATTCCGATGCATAAACAATGCAGGTTTCCCTTTTATTGCATTGTGGTCAAATATAATCTTGGCAATAAGAAAGTTTTTACAGCAAATGTTTTCAGCTTTAGGAGAGCCAATTTGATTCAATTCCAGGAGTCAATATTGTTGTCTAAGGTCTTGTATTTAGGTATTATTAATACATTTTCGATAAAGGAAGCAAACGTTCTCACACATTACGTTATTTTCTTTCATTATCCTTTTATTATCCTATTTCAGTTTAAATTGATTTGTTTCTATGGCAGACTTGTTATCAGCAGACATCATCATCATCATCATCATGATAAATAACTTTGTTTTCATGTACTATAGCTGACGACTGTGTACATTAAAATGACTTTGTTTTTGTGTACTATAGTTGACGACTTTGTACAGAAAGAGACTAGGGAGTCGTTTTAAAAGCTGTAATGTTACAGGATTAAGGTATGTACCTTCTTATATTGTAGTTTTACCTGATTAACTAATGCTGAATAATTCAATGGAAACTAATAAAAGTCATATTAGACCTAGTAACAAAAAATGTTAACAAAGTCCTATTTTAATACAGTAAAACTCGCTATTAAACAACTCGCTTATGAGGAAATCTCTATGATAAGGAACTTTTTACAAATACATTACACTATGTTGCTTCAACGGATTTCAAGATTCGGGGTTATAAGGAAGCAAAATTCGAGGTCACAGTGACTTCCTAATAACCGAGTTTTTGTGTAGATTTTTTTTATTTGTCAAACACTGATGTATTCAAATGCGAATGGAAAGTATCCAACACAAAAACAATTGCCAGGTATAATCATTTTAAGGGATTGTGATATATTAATTCACTCTTATTCATCAACTACAGTCTACAAAGTTACTAAAAGTTCATATTTTTGTGATTTAAGGAAAGGTAGTTTAGTTGTAAACTATGATGTCTACACGACGAGCGATTCATCTTCGTCATCAAATTTAGTATCCATTAACCAAGATCTCCTGTCTGGTAAAGAAAACGTGACATACGACGGACAAAATGCACCAGTGTCATCTCTATCATTTATCGACTCCTCGGGGAAAATCGGTATTGATTCATATAGAAGCTATGGAATCTTATAGTATTAACAAATTCATTACTTACTATAAATGTATTTTACGGTAATTGGCAGAAGTTGATTTTCCAACAAGGTAGCTTAGATTTGATCTAACACTTTTCAGTTGCTCTTTCCATGAATATAAATACACACCACATTAAGCAATGTACTTGATTTTGCTCGAACGCTGCTAAATAGAAGACATAGCCAAATGTAATACATTTACAGCATTTCCTATGTAGTTTTGACTTCAACTTCAGTGGTAGCTTTTTGTAAAAATACGTATTGTAAAAATTACGTATAATCATATTATATTTATTATTGTTGAACTACCCATTGTGATCGATTATAGTGAACTTCACAAATTTTTCATCTGGATGTCAAATTCTGAAGGCGATCAATCCGTGTAGGACTGGATCACAATGCGTTGAAGAACAACAAGGACCAGTTTGCCGGTAAGAATACTTTCTTAAGAAAGGATTTTTACTCATCTATAAAGTCATTATAATAAGAAGCTTATAGTTGGAGGAAAAAACTAAATAATAAGTTAAAAAAGATATTTGAATAAATATAATTAAATGCTTGACAAATTAATGCCTATATATATCTGGTCTTCTAGAATGAAAGTGAAGATAACGAACAGCGATTGATCTAAAAAAAAAATCTACAAACAATCAGATCTGTAAACAGGACATAAAACATGGATCCCCCGGAAATTCTAGATGTGGGATCATGTTCCAAGGAGGATTTAGCATCCCCTGTCGACCGGTCACACCCGCCGTGAGCCCCAAGTTCTGATAAGGTAGACGGAATGTCCCGCAGTCAAATTTTACTATGAAAACAAAGGCCTAACAATTTGTATGAAAATTGTAAGTCAGAATTCGACCCTTTGATATATTTTATTTGTTAATAAGATCTTTAAAAGGACAAAAAAAATTACAAAATGATGACTTTAAACGTGGTAGTTGAAATCCCTGTAGCATCAACTTATCTGTCAGTAGCATGCCTTAGTTTAAAATGTCAAGTTCTATACAGTAAATATGACATCCTAATGATTAAGATATATGCTCAGATTGAATTACAGCATGACAAAAAACTGCTTTATAAAAAGAAATATTTTTCTTGTGGTATTTATAACGTTTATGGATGATTTTCATTTTCATTCTCTGTAGTGTGATTTCAATAGATAACGAAAAGGGTAAGACGAACAGGAAATAATGTAAAAATTATATCAATTATCTTATCACAAATCTTTAGTTGGCAAACTTGATATTGCAAAACATATACATTGTATTTTCTGCATGGGGCGGACATATATTTCATTGCTGACACATATATTACAGGCTAAAAAAAATATTTAATCCGAACAACATGACCGTTTAAACTTGTCGGGGATGATCAAGACAATAGATTTTACGAAATACTAGTTTTAAAAAGTATGAAAGTATGGTTTAAAATTTTCTGAATGAACATTAGTGTCATTTATGATTGCTGGTTCCCATTGCATGTAGGAATTTTTTTCGGGAATACTTTTGCATATTAAGATAGGAAAAACTTTAAAATGGACTGAACAGTCTATTGCATTGTAATATAAAGGTAGGAATGTCACATTTTCATTTCTGCAAAAGAAAAAAACCAAATCAAACCATATTCTGTACAATTCATATAAGCATTTAAACCGCCCTAGAACATATCAATATAAAATTGTCCTAGTTATTGCTCTAGACATAATATGTATCCATATACTACTTGTGCGATGCTATATTTAATAGACAATTTTAAAATATTTTATTAAAATTGTTTCTTTTACTCTCAGCAGTTCCAAAAAGTTTGCTTTCTATGAAGAACTTCTTCACTTTCACGCGAATATCTGTAATAACATTGACAACAACAGATAGTATTTTCGATAATTCATTTATAAGGATAAGGTATATTTTCTTTTCTAAAATTTTCCTGAATAAGACTTTGATGAGTGAAATTCAAGAGAACTTATGCTAAATGTCCTTTTTATGCAGTTTTTTGTAAAATTTATTTTATTGTTTCAGATTGGACAATGTTAATACTGTTGGTTGGTGGTGCCTGTGTGGTGGTTCTCGTGGTAACAATCACGGTACTGGTCTTCTGCAGAAGAAACAAAAACAAAAAGAATACAATAGAGGGAGAGTGATTTCCATGAATATAATCAAGATAACCTGGATTATTTGTATATATCGAAAGTCAAATTTGATGTCATCATACCATTATCAGCCAGAAAGAATAAAAATTACAAAGTTTACCATAAATTGAATGGATTAAGATTAGAAGTTGCTATATTCCTAAAGGTTTTAAAAATTACATTTGCATTGTAATCTTAGAAGAAAAAAATATGTTTTTTGAAAGAAATGAAAAACTGTACTAGGATTAAACAGTCCTGCATTAACTTATTTTTTTCTTTCTAATTGCTATTCTTGTCTTTACACAATATTGATAGCCGTGCATTCTTGACTTTTTTGTAAAATAAGCTTTCCATTTAAATTCTGATTATATTTTCATTCAATAATATCAGAAGCAGTCAAACATGTCTCTTTTAAAAATCTCCAATTAAGACACCTGTAAGAAAAACTAACATGCATGCTGATATATGATCTATTTGTCAGAGATTCAAAGAATTGCTTTGCACAACCACTAGATAATTTTTAGGGAAGGTACAAGGTCAGGAAGAATTGGTTGTGTTCAGAATCAACTTAGAGTTATGTCCTTTTTGATCTAAAAAAAAAAAATCTACAATCACTGCATTTGCATACTTGACAAGCTTTCAAGGTTTTTTTTCATTAAAATAATATGGAGAAATAAAAATGTTGAAGTCATCACGTTTATCATAAAGTTTTGTTATTAGGCTACAAACAAATTTTAAACAAGGCAAGCTATTGACAAATAAGTTGATGAGGTGCTTTTTCAATAAAAATGGAACTCGTAAATTTTCCTATCCTGTCATTTGCAAAATTATTTTGTTAAAGACATTCTGATTGTACACATAAGTACTCCGAAGTTGATATAAAAAGATGCTCGAGTTTCTGATTGACAACATCTGTGTAGTTTTTAGAGATCAGGTCTTCCACCAATCTGTCGGAATTCACATGGGTCTAATTGCATCCTGCTATTTGCAGACCAATTTTTGTATTCATATAAAGAGAATTTATACCAAAACTTCTACATGAAAAGAAGTTTCTTGTTGTGGCCTTCAATTCAACATTTAGATAAATCGATGACGTATAATTTAATCAATTAACAATAGTTACTTCCGTTCATACGTCGACCTGACATATCCAAGTAAACTTGACATAAAAGATGCCTCGGAGTCTGACACATCTGTTTCATATTTAGTTATTTTACTAGAAAATTGCTACGGAAGTGGTTTTAGTAATTGACAATCTTTATTACACACAAATGAAAAGCGCCCTTTTTGTTCGTTTGTTTAATTACGAGTAGTCAATGATTTTTTAATCGTATTTCAAGTACAAAGAAATAGCGACAGGGCACCAGTCATTCTAGTGGCACTTTTAGAAGCGTTACGTCAATACTTCTGTAGCGCCATTATAGCGTAACGTTTAACGTCACCAACATCACGTGTAACGTCAACAGAAGTCTTTTTACAGAATTTGCAATAAATGCTATGTTTTTTTTTACACTTAGGATATACGGAAGGAAATTCATACAACACATCAATCTTTTCCTTCGTTAATCTTAAAACATCCTGTTAAATTTTCCTCAATATATCGACAAGTAGATATTGTAGCAGCTATTCAAAGGAAAATAGAACAATGAATACGCAATGATTGACAGAAATAATGTACTATGTTACATCGATGCATTCAACCATGACCATGGAAATATTTAAATACTAATTGTGCTACAAACGGGTGGATAAGTAGATGTACCGAACATTTAAATTACACAAGCCTTGGATTTCTTTTTAAATAGATCACAACTGTTTACTTTTTACGCTTAAGACTAGTAAGCGAGATGTCACGGGTTCTAATCGTTATGTTTGGGATTGATTTAATTCATGGACTGTTTCCATTTAATGACTACAATGTCAGCCTTAAGTTTAGTAAGTATTCATAACTTAGTTACTATCTTTATATTCTTTCTTGTTCGAAGTTTCTATTAAAAGTAATATACATCACATATATAGTAAACATTGCGCAAGATACTCTTAAAGTCAGTTCTCGAGATGAGTCACTGACTTATGTTGTAGATTGGATATAATTTTGTAATGCTATACTGTAGTTAAACTCTGTGTATACAGAGTAACATAGGCCAGTCTAAAAGATCAATAGCTACCTGACTTTTACCAATGAGTTTTCCTACAAACCTATTACATGTAACCCAATACAAACAACATTAAAACAACTGAAGAATAATTAGAATTATAATAGGTGCCCTGGTGTTTCTTTTATTTTATAGATGATGTCAAAGTTAATATTACATACTTAGGAGACAGAGACATAAGATCTGCTGAGTCATCTAAACATAGTGTCGTATCGTTTTATATCAACAATGAATTGATAAAATTGAAACTAACAAGTAAAAGGGAAATACATCCAAATGTGCCATAGTTGAGATATATTAAGGTAATTAGTGAGATATATGTATGGTAAATATTTGTACAGTTCAAAACCTAAATAATTTATTTCTGTTGAAAGAATGAAAACGGAAAACATGCATTTATTCAAAAGAAGAGAAAGACGCTTACAGTCTAAAAAATAACAGGTTATTTAATTCTTTCATCGTCACTAGAAATTAATTCAAACAGAAAATAACTTACGATACAGATAACAGACTGACAAATCTCCAAGTGTTTAATTGATTATTCAATGCCATTTGAAAACCGGAATCCAAAATAACATGGAAAGCTTTATGTTGTCAAAAATTGGCTTTCAATGGCAGACATAGTGGTTATATCATAAACTGCAAGACCAGAAAAGATGTTATACTTACGTCAATAAATATGTAGATCTGGCTGCAAAAGTATCAGTATGAGATTACACAGTGTTAGCAAATGTTGAATGAACTGAGAAGAGTAATGGTTTTCTTTTTGTATGTTGATTTGAGCAAATAAGTACGATTATGCCTCTTTAATTGCAAACCTTACAAATATTTTGAACTTTTCTACTTTTTTATGCATTTCCCCCCAAATAGACAGGACTGTTTTTACACAGAGAAAACGAGTATTTAATTGAACCAGAATCCAAATCCTGTTTGTCTGACTTTGGTGGAAATATAAAATACAGGGTTTTACGATTGGATCAGCCACAACATACTTTTTTGGATCCAATACAGCCAAGTGAGTAAAAACTTATTAAGCATCGTATTTTCCTAACACAATCTATATGTTTTAGTTTACTTAATTCTTTCTCCCTATATTGGACTCTTTATGTTGTATTTTGACCCCTTCCCCCAAGCAATTTATCCTTTTGTTTTTATAAGCACATCGACGAATATATACCCTATACTAATATAACCCAAAGGTTATAAGAAAATCAGTCATTATTTTCTTTTGAATTCATTTATGTTGTCTTTTAGTTCCAACTTAAAATCTAAAAAATAAGAGTTTTGATTAATTTTTTAAAAATCAACGTGAATATGGAATCAAAAATGCTCTCACAAACAAATATCGGCAATGATCACATACTTCTCCATTTATATAACGTTTCATGAATAAAGCTGGCTTGTACTATGATCTGGTTTTAGCATAAACATTGTTTTCTTACAAGGTATTGAAAGTATTGAACAGACATCAATCTAAAAATACTACAAAGAATACAAATCTTTAAACAGGAAATGAAACACGGACCCTTGGAAATTTTAGAGGTGGGGTCAGATGCCTAGGAGGAGTAAGCATCCCCTGATGACCGGTCACACCCGCCGTCAGGATCATGTAGACGGAATAATCCGTTATCAAATTTAGGATAAAAAAATTGAACTGAAATATATCAGTCCCCCAATGATGGGTTTTATTTCCTAACAAGTGCTTTATAACGACCATAGATTTTACAATATGCTGACTTTTAACGAGGTTCTTTAAATCCCTGTAAAATGAACTTATTTGTAAGTATCCATCCTCGGTTTAAAAATTCGATCGTATTCAGAGTAAGCTCTTATGTATCGAATAAGTTGGGATATATAAACGCCATGCGCGGGTGGAATATTACTATTTGTACATAAATAAATAAAGGTTGACGAGGGAAAGGTTGAAGTCTTCTGGTTTGTCACACAGTTTATCAGATGGTTGTTATCGTATATAGCCAGTTAAACGACTTTATCTTAAACAAATGTGCAAAATGTGAAATATTCAAATTCTGTTATACCCTGTAAATAAATGAATTGAAAATAAATGAAAATATCATCAATTACTTGATAAAACGATGAATCAAATATTGAGTTTATATAATGTGCTTTAGCCGTACATAAGTGGAGGTGTATCTCAAAGACATCCTTTACTGAGTTAAGCTATACTGAACTCATTATAACAAGGACTTAAAATGCCATATTCCGTATTTCATGTAAATTGCCTAGACTCATATTTCAGAATAATATATATTCTGTGAATTTATTTTACACTTATTTCTGTGATACTCTTCTATGAAGCATTAACTAAAAAATTGAATATTGTTCTTAAAGCTGGCGATACAAAATCATGTTACTTACTAATGTTTAAATATATGTTTTGTTAGGCATGAACCTAGAAAGATGGCGTCATAACACAAGAAAAAGACTAAGGCATAGGAGACAAATAAACGACTATAAAATAGAGATGTTCTTTATCATTGATTATGCCGTTTATAAATAGTAAGATTTAAATCTGATTGAAATAACAACATGTAGAAAGCAATATATAGATTGCATTAAAAAGAAAATGATATTAGAATTTGTTTCCATAACCAAAACCAACCGAAAAAATACTATTAATAATTCTGTTTTGTAATTACAAAGCTGGTATACACAGAGCAGAGCAGCTGATATGAGACAGAGAGACGCGGAAGCTAAGAATAACATCAGACAATTCTACACTTTTGTAATCAATGGGGTAAAAAGAAAATTTGTATGTTTGTTAATATTGAAATAAGTCTATTAAACTTTCAGAATATCTATCTTCATTGTATTTATTGTACCTTTCGTGGACTCTATAAGCATTCAGTATTAGTTGAAAGAACAAATATTCCCTATATCAGTTGACTCTTATTTTTATTATTATTTTCGATGATGAGATTATTTATGAGAAAGTAATTTGTAATAGTGCAAAGATTTTTAAAAAAGTTTTTCATTCATTTATTTATTTTTTCTTTTTTTAGATGGACGTTCGCTATAAAAATATCCAAACTTCTGCGTTCAAAATATCAATTTTATTTTCTGGTATTTATATCGCTGATGTAAGTATGTTTTTACAAAAAAGAGAGAAATATTTGAAAGTAATTTAATACAAACTTATAATTTGTAATGGTCCACAACTTTGCTACATATCTGTATTTTTTTGTAAATGAAAAAAAATTTTTTTACTTTTCTTCTTGTCAGCCAAAGTTATTTTGTTCTGTTCATTTCGAATGAAGAAAAAAAATGCAGATGAAAATTCATGAAATCTTTGTCAACAAGCTGGTTTAATACATGATAACTTAGATGATGATAAATATGATTTTTCCTCTGAGAAACTTATTTGTGACTCACTTAAGCCAGAATTCTTTATTATAGTACCATGTCTTTTAATTACGCAGTATTACAGATAAAAATCTTTTTAAAGGTTTTATTAGGAAAGTTCTCAAAGTATTTTTGTTTCTTGTCTAACTGAAACATAAACTGCTCTTGTCATTTTTGTGTGCGATATAATATAACTTTTAAATCTGGCAATTTATTTATTTTGTATCCTTGTTTAATAATTTGTTCTACACATCTGCAGACTCCATCAAAATCGCAGTTTATAGAAAAACTTAAAGCTAATTCAGCATCCGGGTATCAAGTAGACTCCAATGCAGCTCTAAAAGCTGTGACGTCATGGGTTAAAGGAACCCCTGGTCTGCCTAATTACGACCATGCTATGATGTTTACAAGGTAAAGGGATAATATTTCATATCTAAAAAAAATCATCTCAATAGATATATACCTACACAAATAACATCAAGTATGGGTGATATTAAACATGTGATGGAATGTTGAATGTTAAAATTGATGCAAATATCTCTACGGTGCACGAATTGTTTTGATTTTAGATACGATTTCACCAGTACTGGATCATCAGATACTACAGGACTTGCGTGGTTAGGAACTTTATGTACAGACCAAGCTGTTTCGGTGGTAGAGGACCACTTTAATTTCAATGTTATTACTGTGGCAGCACATGAATTAGGACACGGGTATTTTATTAAAATCTTGAAAAAAATAATATTAGATATATGTTATTTGTAATGGAATTTGTAAATTTTAGTGTACAGTGTACAGATATTATTAATTTGTATCGTATTCAATTAGGAAAACTAGCTTAATACCAGTGAGACATTTTTTTCTTTTATATGAAGGACACTTACTCATTTCAGGTCACAAATAAACAAGAAGGCAGTGAATGAATTATAGTTAATAAACTTAATAATACGTCCACCGTAGTAGAACAGTAAAACCATATTCATAAAAATCATATTCATTACTTTCCATTCGTTTCTATGTAAAAGACAAGAATTTGAATACCTTATTATTATCCACTCAGGATTCAACATTAAATTTTTTTATATAGTGTACCAAATGTTAAAAAAGTTAACACATATTTGTAGATAAATTTAGACAAAGTGTTTTAACAGACTGAGTGCAAAGCATCACGGAAGTGGAAACTCGGCAATGGTGACGATGTAAAAAAAAAAGTGAACACATATTTAGTGATAAATTTAGACAAAGTTTTTTTAACAGATTGAGTGCAAAGCATGACGGAAGCGGAAATTCCTGCAATAGTGACGATGCCTTCGTCATGGCCCCCAGTACAATTCCTGTGGATAACCAAAATCCCTGGAAATTTTCCGCTTGTTCCACCTATTACTTTACTAATTATATCAACAAACTTAACCGGTATGTCACTTTATTGCTATGCCACTATAGTAGTTAGTTCCTTATTATTTTAAAACAAAGAATGCAGTTTTAAGCCTGTCAGCATATATTTATTTATTTTTCAAAATGAGAAGGAAATGACAATATATTCTAGGTATTCCCTCAAAAGTTATATGAATTGGATTGCTATTTGCTTTCATCCATTCATGATAGTATATCTTTAGTTTTACGAGCAAAAATATTGCTAGTAAGTACTTTTATACTCGACAGGGACAATAATAATTGTATGACTGTCTTAAGTCAAGACTTCGACCCTGACGCATTAAAACAATACACAGCACTTCCTGGTGAGATATATGACGCAGACGCACAGTGCCGACATATTGTTGGTCCAAATTCTGGATTTTGTAAGGTATACATGGTGTCTTTTAATTGTAAAGAAAATTTTATAGAATTTTGTTTATCTACAGTCTTTACATAACTTTTGATTCTCTTACAAAAACAAAGATTTTTCCATTGTACCAAATGAAGATTTCAGTATTTTAATGACCCAGTTTTAGAATGGACTACATTAAGATAGAACATAGTAATACTAGATTTCTTTATATACGTGTACATTTTATATAGAACATAGTAATACTAGATTTCTCTCTTTAAATGTACTTTTTTTTTTATATCTATTTATAGAGCATTTACAGACAAAACTTTATGTCTGTGTGCACAAAATTATGGTGTACAAGGGGTGACGGAAGTAATGGGTGTGTCTCCGCAGTAGCGGGAGACGGGATTCAATGTGGCAACAAAAAGGTATCTTCTCAGTCGCATTCTTCTTAGTCATAAAATAATTGGTAAGATATCTAATCAAATTCCAAAAGTCTACTACTATAAGGTTGGGTTTTTTTTTGTATTTCAGTGGTGTATTTCTGGTGTCTGTAAATATGATGAGTGTGCGCCACCAGGTGACGGTAAAATCGTCTTTGTTTCCAAAGTTACCTTTCAAAAGTTCTAATCAAGTATTCAGATCATTTTAAAGAGTAAAAAAAAATTGGAATTTTAATGGGAAATTAAGATTTTTATTTACTTGTTCTAGCTATTAAAATACGTAAACTTAAGGAATGTTTTTCACTTTCCCTTATTCAGTTTGACATCTGAATACACGTATATACTTTTTCCTAAACAATTTAATAAAACGGCTGAAGTATAGGTATTTATATTAATGAATGTTTCAATTACAGAATCTTGTTTGTATGGAGATAGAGAAGGTGTAGCAATCACTTATAATGGAGTCGATGTCACATGTTCATTTGAAGACATAAAGAAAAATCCAGCTGTTTGCTACTCAGTCAATACTACTTGTTGTCGACAATGCAGAAACTTTTATACTGGTATAATAGGTAATACTATCAAGTTGTTCTAAAAGAAAAAGCAAATCTCAAGTGCATGACAATCTAGGACATTCTCAGATTTTTAAGGACCAAAAGACAAATGCAGGCAATCTGGGTGGCAAAAATATATATTGCAAATGAGTTAAAAAATTGTAGAATTAGCCTTTTCGTTTCTTTGTCGTTTTTTTGTTGGAATTTGCGTTATAGAAACGAAAACTAAAGAGTACTGTCCTGAAAATTTTGGCATTAAAGTGCTGACTACTAGTATTTTAATTTGAAAATGGTCTTTGACACAATATAGTTGTTTCAGAATAAAATGCATTTAATATCCAGATTTGTGATACCGCCGTTATATTTTATTAATAAACTTTATCCCATTCTAGGTCCTCAAGCATCAATCAAACCTCTTAGAATGTTCTTTGTTCTTTGATTATAGGCTGTGAATATGGAGACAGAGCAACAGGCTGCTCTAAGTCCCATTGTCCGGGGAACCCAAGTCTTTGTTGTGGAACATGTTACAATGGAACATTAAGTACACCGTCTTATCAGCCAACAACACAAAAAAATCTTAATCTTTGTAAAATGAAAGCTACAACGCCATCTACGACAAGTAATATAGAAGGTATAATGTAGGGAAAAACAAGGTATAAATTCTAATTCTCTACGGAGAGTTTGATATTGTTATAAACTCTTCTTTTGTAACAAAAGAAGCAAAAGATCAAGTCTGCCACTTATGTAGCAGTTGGTCTACATTTATCTCATGCAATCTTAGTAAAATATAGTAGTAGTAACAACAGTAAACCAGAATTCAAAATTTGTGACAGAGGTCAGATCTCAAGACTATTTGACAATATCAAGGACACAATAGAACGAGAAACATTCTCCAAGTTTTAAAGTACAATGTTTAATGAAATATAATATAATAATCCTTAAATCTTAGTAAATGTGTGTAATCACTTTTTGCTTTTAATAATATTCTTATGATACTACCAATCAGCAAAGAAGTGCCCTTCTTTAACACTAATTAAGGACATACGCAACGTAGTTTGAACTTTATTGCCTTTTTCCCTGGAGTTGAAGAGTTCCAATACTGAAAGGAACCGTGTGCTACATTTTAATGTCTATATATGCTGTTGTACACTTCTTCTAAAACAAGTTTGGATAAATAAAACATCTAGAATATATGTTTAGTAATTTTTGTATATCTTTTTCTGAATTATACAAGAATTTTCATCAATTGATTTCATTTCAAAACCCCTGGTAATGCAGGCTGATTTTTTGTCTACAAGCATCTGATGACACTATAATCTTAAATTAAGAATAACTTGAAAAATTTTCAGTAGGTAAGGTAGGTTGCGTAGTCCTTAAATGTAATCACTGTTGCAAATACCGGAAAGTCATTGTGATGGATTTCTTTTTTCACTTCTGTTTTTATTAGGTTAACTGAGTCACTCGGTTGACCTATTGCTATCTGTTTTCGTCCGTCGCCTTGCGTCGTCCATTAACATTTTAACATTTTCAGCTTCTTCTCTGTGAATTTCATTGGCTCCACCCCTGGAGCTAAAACCATCAAAATTAGTGTTATGTTTAAAAATCTTCTTTACTACTTGACATTAAGCAGTTGAACCGTTGTCATGATGGTAATAAGCATTGAGACCTCTACCAAACTGTGCAATTCATGACCCCAGGGTCAGGGGTTATGGTGCTAGGGCGGAGCACAGTTGAATATATAGCTAAAATGCATCATTTCTTAAAACATCTCCTCTGCTCCAGGGTTTTTTTGGTTTGTTTGCTGTTTAACGTCCCTCTCGAGAATTGTTCACTCATATGGAGACGGCACCACTTGCCGGTGGAGGGCTGCAGATTTTTACCTATACACAGCACTGAAGGCCATTGAGCAGTGAGGGATCTTTTTCGTACCAGCACCTACTGGCTATTGCGACACGGGACCTCGGTTTATACGGTCTCATCCGAAGGACCGGTCTCCACGTCCTAACAGTGGGATTTGAACCTGCGATTTAAGGATCAACTCCTTACTCCGCGACTTTAAAGCAGACGCTCTAACCACTGCCCCACGCGGGCGACCTGCTCCTGGGTATTAAGAAAACAAACTGATTGCATAGTTATGATGAGGAAGAGTGTCTCTTCCAAAATTGTGAATGTCCAGGCCCTCTGGGTCAGAAATTCTGGTGTTAGGGCGGGGCTCTAAAGATTATATAGTGAAAATTCGTAATTCTTCGAAAATCTTCTCTACTTCGGGGTACAAAGCCGATGTACTAAGTACATAGTTATGATGATGGAGGGTACCTCTTCCAAAATTGTGAATTCCATGGTCCCTGGGTTAGGGGTTCTTATGTTGGGGGGGGGGGCTCTAATGATTATATAGTGAAAACTCATTAATTCTTTGAAATCTTCTCCTCTGCTACTGGGTATTAAGCCGATGAATTAAATACATGGTTATGATAAGCAACATCGCCTCTTTCAAAATTATGAATATTACGGCCCCTGGGTCAGAAGTCCTGGTGTTAGGGCGGGGCTCTAACGATTTTTAAAGTGAAAATACATTAATTCTTTGAAAATCTTCTCCTCTGCTCTTGGGTAATAAGCCGATAAACTAACTTCATAGTTATGATGAAGAAGGGTGCCTTTTTCAAAATTTGTGCATTTGATGGCCCCAGGGTCAGGTATTATGATGGAAGGGTGGGGCTCTAATGTTTATATAGTGAAATATGGCATGTCAAACGTTGCAATTTTCGATCCTTTCAATTTGTATTGTATAATTTTTATTCATATTCTATCATTTTCCATTTGGATTGTATAATTTTCCATTTAAAATTTTTAAAATTGAATTAATCAAAATCTATGATAGCTTGGGGATTAAATACCCAATGCCATACAAAACTTCTTTCGAATTGGGGTATATATTTTATTAGAAAAGGTTTATAATTTTGGAATATTTTATTTCATATATACTTATTATTATCTTAATTTATTTTAGGATACAGAAATTACCTTATTTATGGTGGTGCAGTTGCTGTCAATCTGGTTCTTCTTATTGTAATCTGTATCTGCGGTCTTTATCATAAGCGAAAGCAGAAACATAAAAGTGTTCCAAATTCCAAACTCAGTGGATTTACAAATCGTGCCATGGAATATATGTGAAGACATAAATATTCGGGACCAGAGCCTGACGCAAAATAATTGACTTTGATGGGAAGACAAATAAAAATTCCTTCATGGGTTAAAATTTTGAATATTGAATATAAAATATTGAAGATCTCAGAAATTGTATCGTTAACATAGTAGATATTTCATTGTATTTAAATTAAATACACTTTTGTATAGAAGGTTGTTATCTGTTATTTTGGCTCTTTTTCTGTCTTTTTTGTTTCGTGTAATATTACGCTTCACATGCAAAACACAGAAAGTGATTTTGCCTAAAATACAGTTTTTTCTCTGTATAGGTGCCATATGTAATAATTTAAGAAATCAATGGTGCTATCATTATTGATAAAATAATGCTTCATGCGTAATTTGTGAGTGTAAGAAATGTTATGAATGTTTATATTTGGCGTAATATCAGGGAAGTGTATAAAGACAATAATGGCAATACAAGTACATGTATTAGCTTTTCTGAAAAGCTTGTCTGACTTGAACAAATTTATTTTTTCGTGAAGAAACAAGAAAAGTTAAATTCAGTGTATTCAACATGACTCTGAGTCATGAAATGAATTATTTAGCTAAGAAGTAAGAACAGTTCAATTCAGTTGCATCAACATAAAATAAAACTTGGACATGATCTTATTCTATATACTCTATATTACTTGTAAATTTTTTTTCCATGGACGTAGAAACCAGGTGAGGGGGCGTGCCCTCCAATAATTTTGCCGATTTATACATAGCTATTTTATGCTTGTGCCCCCCAAATCATGTAAATATTAACTTCTGATATCTTTTTTATGCTCTCTAAGGAATTTTTCCTTGATACAGTCCACCCTAACTGAAAATTTCTTCCAATGGGCCTGTTCATGGATACAATGAAATATATAGAGATAACGAACAGTATTCAAGCTCAAAAGTCCATTAAACAATACAAAAATAGGAGCAGAGCAAACATGGACCTCCAAACATCAGAGGAGGGATCAGGTGCCATGGAGGAGTGAGCATCCCCTGCCGACCGGTCACACCCGCCGTGTGATCCTTGTCATGATCGGGGGGAAATAACGGAAAAATCCGTCGAGAATTCAGTGTGTAAATAATGACCTAACAATTAGTATGAAAAACGTCAGTCAGCATTTGACTCAATGATAAATTGTATTTGCTGACAAGGTCATTGTATCGACCATAGAACTTACGAAATGATGACTTTAAACGAGACGGCTGATATTCTTGTTTCATCAACTTGTTTGTCAATAATTTACCTCGTTTTAGAAATTGTACATACGTAGAGCATGCTCTTGCGTATCGAATCAACTGAGAGATATATACCCCGTATGCAGGTGATGAAGGTATATTGCTGCATAAGTAAGGGAAGTTGACGATTGAAAAGTTAAAGTCATAGCGTTTATCATAAAGCTTGGTTGTTAGATTACCATTAACGACTTTTTCAAGTAAAATATCCAAATATGAAACAGATGTGTCAGACTCTGTGGTATCTTTTATCTCAAGCTCACCAGGATATATTGTATCGACATAAGAATGGAAATAGCCATTGTTAATTGACAATACGTTGTCGATATATCTAAATGTTGAGTTGAAGGCCACAGCAAGTGTTTTCTTCTTTTCACGTACAAGATTTTGGACAAATTCTGCTTCATATGAATACAATAAAGGTCTGCTAATAACGGGGCTCAATTGGTACGCATGGGAATTCCTATAGATTGTTGAAAGACCTGGTCTCCAAAAACCACATAGATATTGTCAATCAGAAACTCAAGCATCTTTTTAATGTCAACTTCAGAGTACTTGTGTGTACAATCAGAATGTTTTTTAACAAAATAATTTTGCAAATGACCAATGACAAGGTAAGTGTATTTACGAGTTCCATTTTTATTGAAAAAGCAGCTGTCAATGATATCAAAAAGCCAGTAGCCTTTTTCACAAAAATTCTTATGAGTAAGATTAAAATTTTACAACTCTTTAATTTCTTTGTTTAATAAAGAAAATTATTTTTTCAGAAGAATAATTCTCAATATACTGTAATGTAATAGAAATATAAGATTTTTTGTAACATACTTCAATTTAGGTACATATAGAAGAATTGGAAAATTTTAATCTTAGTCGTAAGATTTTTTGTGAAAAGGGCTACAGGACTTTAATTTGTCGTGGAGAATGGTTGTTTATAAAGTTGAAAAGTCGTAAGTTTTTAAGCTGTTGATTTTGGTAAAATCTTTTGATTTCCAATTTTCCAAAAGTTCCTTGGAATTTTTAAGTATCCACATCTGATTTACACCACTTCTCGAATATATTGTTGCACAGTACTCTTGAAGTTTCTCCTTCACCACTTTTAATATCTTAGTTAGGAGTAAAGAAAGAGGCTTGGTTGAATATTTACTGGAACCCGCTATGTATCTTTGCTTGTAAGGCAGGACATAATCAGTTACAATTTAAGCAAAAGAAGATTCAACATCTATCCTTCACTTTGGTATCTTTTTAAACTATGAATAAATCAATACGTTATGTAAGAAATGTCAAATTTTAAGTGTTTATATGTAGTGATGAAGAGCGTGCAAGTTCATAAGTTAAAAAAATCCAAAATGCACCTACTATTTGACATTATTTGATGATATGTATTTAAAATCTAGGATAAAGACAGCGTAGATTTTTATGAACATAACATACTTTTTGTAACGTAACACTTGACAGACAAACGTTCGTGGCTTCTCGGGCTCTCTCGGTAGCTCTTATCGAAATGTAAACACATATGTATGGAACGCTGGAGAAAATTTAAATATTCATAACCTTTAAGTCAAATGTATAAGAAGAAGCATCTCCGAGCTCTATTCTTAAAATAGAACCTAACGCCCACTTGCCGTGGCAGACACATGAAGCATCCCACAGATTTGTTAATTTCTAAGCACACGTGCTTTTCTGTTGAATCTGCGATCACTTTATTGATAAATACGTAAGTTTTCTATCAGTAGATAGGAAAGATAAAATAGTTTGCATAAACAATGGCACATTTTATCACAATGTACCCGGTGTATTGAGACTGACAGACGTTACGTTCAAAATATGAGAAGAAATAAATTCCACTTTTGTATGTTAATTTTATCCTTCCTAAACAGTAGTGAATGAAGATATTCTGTGTACAAGGTATTATCGCCGTATATTTGTCTTTTATTTTGACATGGTTGAAAATGTCCCCCTACACTTGCGTAATTCTAGTGGAATTATCAAATTCATTTCAAGGAAAAAAAGTAAGTTGATGGAAAAATCTGCTTATTTTATCTTTTTTATATATTTGCAATGTACTTTTCAATATAAAACATTTCTTATTTCATTTTTTTAAATAATTTATTTTATATTCCTCTTGTTAAAATCATAGGTCAAGATGTACTCAAGAGCGAATTTAGAGCCAGTACTGTCTGACGCCATGACGTCAGACAATGACGATAACGAACAGTAATCGTCGGCTGCGCGGCGTAATGGTTAGAGCGTCTGCTCTAGAGTCGCGGAGTAAGGAGCTGAAGCAAAATCTAATTTTTGCAATAAATTGTGAATTTCAATATTAAATCAATAACCTGATCTACATTATTTTTGGGATTCCTACATTCAAGATATGAAGTATTTTTCTGACTGTTATTCGGATCTGCGAGTGAAAAATTAAAATTATATATGCATGGAAAAATACAAATGAGAATATAGGATAAATTTTTACTTAGATAATTAAGCATTTTTCTATTTCTAGTGCAAGATTTCAAAACAAAGTTCTTTTTTTTGAAAATGAATTATATTTTCCTATATCTGATTCATATCTTCGGCTGTTTGATATTGGTTCAAGCTTAAAGGGAAGTATTGGAATCAAGTAGATGAAAATTCTGGTGAAAGTTCATCATAAACTGTCTTGTTATGTACAAAACACACAACATATCTTACTTTGCTTAGAAATATATACCCTTGAAAATGCATATTATATCTTTTGATAAGCATGATCGTGAGTGTGTGTTCGAATATAGGTGGCGCTGCGATCAATGCATGATCAGAATATGCTCTCTGCATGTTGGTGCAAAGATAACACTGCATATGGTAAAAAAAATAATCAAGGTATAAAGAACCAAACTTAACAACCTGGCTCTCGGAGGGTTGTGCATGTTTTTTTATAAGTGGATGAAGACATCCACTTCAATAATAAGGATTCAAAGCGAAGTGCCACTTATTAAACCAGCATATGTGTGGCTGGTATTAGTTGTACGGGCCGAAGGCCTCAGGGTGTGTGGAAAACAACCCGGGGTATATTTCCGTACACCCTTGATTGGACCTGGATAACGAGTTTATTTCCTATGTAACCAAATAAGCCCTTTGTTTTTGCTTTTTTTTGATTCATGGATTCCTTGTTTATTTTTTTTTTTAATGTTTAAATGTGTTTAAGTTGAAAATTTTAAAAACGCATAGTAGTCATTTAAACAATGTTCATCGTAGTTTTTACAAAGACGACACAAACACTGAACATCAACAATTCCTCATAACAATTCTTCTATATTTAGCACACGCTATAGGGACGTGTAATTGGATTTTACGTTTTTTTTTAAAATTGTAAGATAACTCAAACATGATTAAATTACAAACTTGTTTGCAATTTGACCAATTGTGAAATAATATGATTGTGCAAATTTATGAATGGATATTCGTCCTTGTGGCCTTGTGGATGTTTTAAGTAAGAAAAAAAATGTTTATATGTGGTAGAAGGATGAATTTGATCGAATACAAATGCCACTATTTTTTCATTTTCTAAGATTAAGGCGACAAGGTCAACGCAACATGTTCCGAATATTATTTTTAATGTTTGGAATGTATTGTACAACTGGGATGCTTCCATTTCCTAGGAATAAGGGGAACAACCGAGACAGTAAGTAATGGTTATCTTCTTTTTGACTATGAATGGCAGTACTAATTGAGCTGATATTTCAGAACTATCTAGTTTAAAGTCAGTATTTTGCTAATGCTACATGTATGGTCATATTGTGATCTCCTTTACAAATACAACCCATCGTGGCGTCGTATTATGACTGGTATATTTCCCATTAATTGTTAGGCTATTATTTTTATACGATTACTCTATTTACCTAATCAATATAGAAGGCCATGTGGGTGTAAACGGGATGCTTACTCCCCTTAGGCACCTGATCCCACCTCTGGTATTTCCGTAGGTTCCTGTTCTTCCCTGCTCAAGATTCGTATTCTTAACTGGATTTATGAAATTGATCACTGTTTTTTTCCACCTTTTGCACAAAATTTTATTTCATTTTACATCTACTTGAGCATTTCTAAAAGATTTAAAACAATAAGAAACTTCAAGGTATTTTCAAACCAGGATTTTGTCGCCCGCGTGGCGCAGTGGTTAGAGCGTCTGCTCTAGAGTCGCGAAGTAAGGAGTTGATCCTTACGTCGCGAGTTCGAATCCCACTGTGGGACGTGGAGACCGGTCCTTCGGATGAGACCGTATAAACCGAGATCCCGTGTCGCAGTAGGTGCTGGCACGAAAAAGATACATCACTGCTCAATGGCCGTAAGTGCCGAGTATAGGTAAAAATTTGCAGCCCTCCACCAGCAAGTGGTGGCGTCTCCATATGAGTGAAAAATTCTCGAGAGGGACGTTAAACAACATTCAAACAAACAAACAAACAAACCAGGATTTCGCTGGCTAGAGAGCTCAAAGAAGCTTCCTTTTTTGATTAAGAAGTCATATTTTATTCTAGAATAATAACCTTCATCAATAAATAATTCCTTTCATTTATTTTTCTTAGATGTTTTCAGTGTACAGATAACAGATTTAAGCGATGGGGGTGTAAGATCGGCAAATGGTTCCAGGCATTTATCTTTGTCCCTCAGTGATGGTTTCATAGACTTTGATCTGACCTGGAATCAAAATACTGAAACAAATGCACCTATATACACAACTGATTCTGAAGGAATCGTAAGGATTCAACATGTTCCACAATCAAAGGTATCAGAGTAAATAATTCATAATGTTCAGTCATTTGCACTTGCATAAATTAACATTAACGATATACAAGTTCCTAAATCTTTTCAATTTGCTATAGATAAAAAGGAATGAAATATGTATCCCCAATGGACTGATGCATATTGATTTTGGGATAACTTCTGTCTCTTTGCCTCAAAATCGTTTCCAGACCATAACTCCAAAATGTGAGTTGGGTAGAAATCAAATTTCAGCATGTCATTCCAATAAAATAAAACTGAAATGATTATAGTTCAAGGTCATATATCAAAGGTCTCTTTGCCTCAAAATCGTTTCCAGACCATAACTCCAAAATGTGAATTGGGTAGAAATCAAATTTCAGCATGTCATTCCAATAAAATAAAACTGAAATGATTATAGTTCAAGGTCATATATCAAAGGTCAAGGCCCCTAGACTATGCGATTTTATAATTGCCATTCAGTCATACCTTTGAATTTCTTCTTTAACAAATACAAACTTGGACATGTTTTTTGCCAAGACTTATACATTTGTCATGCTTTTATCTCGAACTGCCACGGTAGATCAGTCGGTAGAGCGCTCGCTCCGTGATCGGACATGGAATCTTCGCCAAGTACTCGGCACCTTAAAGTGAAAGTTGCAGGTCTCTCGGATGAGACCTTTAAGACCTAGGCTTCATGTCATGTTTGCACGATAAAGATCTCTCACTGCTCAATGGCCCTGAGTGCCGAGTAAGGGTCTAAATTTGAAGCCCTTCACCGTTATTTGGTGACGTTTCTATGTGAGTGAAAAATTCTCGAATGGGGCGTACAGCAACATACAATCAATCGATATATCTGAAAGATCAGAGTCGATGTATAATTAGATGGTGAATATTGTTAAGTTAATAAATATAAAGAAACTAAAAAGCCAGTCATTCAACATATTAACATGGAAATAAATTAATATATTTTGACTAAATATTAATTTAAATGACATTGGTATTCTTGATAATAATTTAGCTTTTTCAAAATATTGTGTCAATCTTAACTTGACATTGCGAATTCAAGGATGACTGGAATGTAGGAGATATCAAGATACCGAGATCATTTTCACCGCATTACACCATTATCAATGAAAACATAATGCTAAATTGTAAATGAGTTGATAATTCTTGTCATGTCACTTCTCACTTTTCTTTTAAATTATAAATGCATCTTTTAAAGACCGGTTTTTTTGTATTGAATAGGAGATCAGATTCTATCAGGACGTGGAAAATGGAGCATCCTTTATGATAATGTCCAATAATTCCTCCTCATGCATGGTATGTTAAATCTCAGACACTGGGTAATATGTTATAAATGTCGAGAAATGAAACAGCAATAGAAATATAAAATATTTATCCATCATAAAATATCATAAATTAAAAAGTTGAAATAAATATTGATAGATTACTTTTCAATGGTTTGACCTTTAGATTTTTGTAACAATGTTTTGTCCTAAATTTAGACGGGGATATTTCTATACAGAAAAAGCGAGTATATAATGGAACCTGAAACCGACGACTGCCTCCGGGTCAGCGACAGAGACACAAAGTACAGGATCATTGAAGTAGATAGATCACATGCACCATTCGCTGATGTTTTGAAACCAAGTTAGTGAAAATAAAAGTGTTGGCTTGTAGTTTTGAGCGACTTTATTTTTTTTATGTTTGAATGTACAGTGTGCTATTAGTATCCCATTTTATCTACAATTTAACAATCTGTTATGTGAATATCAAGCAAGAAATATGTAAATTTTGAAAAGTAGTGCGTCTGTGTTTAGGAATGGAAATGTACTAATTGTTTGTCGCAGGAATGGACCAAGGTGGATTATTCCATGGTACTAAGATGAACAGGGCTAACAGAAAAAAGAGACAAATAAATCACTACAAAATAGAGATGTTCTTTATTATTGATTACTCCATTTATTTATAGTAAGATATTAAAATATTGACCGGAACCAATTTAATTTAATTCAAATTTAACATTAATTGAGAGAAATAGCGTAATTCCCTCAAGAAATACAATTACATTTCTCTTTCCAATTATGAAGTTGGTATGAACAAAGCAAAGCTTCCAGTTTAACTGCAAAAGATGAAGAGGCGAAAGGAAATATTCGAGAGTTCTACTCTTTTGTTATCAATGGGGTAAATGGTCGTTTTACTTCCTAGCTCATATTATATGGATCAAGATTAAAATTAACATTAATAAAATACTGATGGAAAAAACCTGCTTTCTTCAATCAATCAATAAATCTTTTAATTAATGAAACAGATGATTATTTTTTTCAGATGGACGTTCGTTACAAAAATATTCAAACATCATCCTATACAATATCAATTCTGTTTTCTGGAATATACATTGCTGATGTGAGTATGCTGAAGGAAAATAGGTCTTGCTAAGGGGGTAATGGACAACAGTTTCAAAGTTGTGTTGCTGTCAATAAAATAAGCAAAAGAAAGTTATTCCTCTTTGCACGTTGTATAATCATTGTAGGAAAAGGTTCTAGACAAGGTATAGTTACTATTGTAGCCTTTGTTTTTAGTGGATAAATAGAGGATATTCAATGCTTTGTAGTTGATTATAGAATTTATATCACAAGTGGAACAGGATTTTTTTTTTATATTTTCACGTGAAGAATGATCGAAAACAAAAAAAAAAAAAAAAAAAAAAAAAAAATCCTTTCTTACGAGTGAAATAAAGTCCGTATCTAGCTGCACGAAACATTTAATTTTCTGTTTATTAATTTCTTTTAAATTTGCCCTTTGTCTTTTCGTAACACGGTGTCGTACTGAGGCTCTGACTTCGTAGTTGATTTATTGAGACGTCATAACTTACCGATTGTGAAATTTAAAACATTGTATACATGGACCACAGCAACATATTTCAAGAAACTTTGGCAGTATTAGTCTTTCATAGAATGGTTTATTATAGTATTCCACAGTAAAATGTGATATAATGTTGAAATCAGTTTTTTAGATTAATCTACAACGGTGAATGTTAAACTAATTATAAGGAGGACGACTTTTGTTCTACTATGCTAATATTTTATCTTTTTTGAAAAAAAAAGCTCATCTTATTCCTATCATTGCAGGCTGCCTCAAAATCGACCTTTACAGAAAATAATAAAATTGTGTCAGTTTCTGGTACACAAATTGACTCAGAAGTCGCACTCACAGCAGTGACGTCATGGTTACAGGGAACCCCTGGGCTACCTCAACATGATCATGCTATGATGTTTACAAGGTACGATTTGATTGTATGAATCTTTTAGAAACAACTCATTTGAATTTTGTCTTTCTCTTTAATAAACATATTACTATTGTAGAATGAGGTATTCACAATACATGAACAGTGTACATTCATTTTTTTCTAATTAAATTTATAAATGTACAAAAACATAAACATACAAAATTAGTCAAGCAGTTCATAACGTTCTCTCAAAATGTAATGCTACTGTATTGATGATTTTAGCTAAAGCTAAAATATTTACATAACTGCTACCTAAATATTTGTTTTAGATACGATTTTACTAAGGGCGGGTCATCAGACAATGCAGGATTGGCCTGGCTTGGAGCTTTGTGTACGACCCAGTCTGTATCCGTGGTGGAGGATCACTTTGATTTTAACGTTATTACAATTGCAGCTCATGAATTAGGACATGGGTATTCATTTTTTAATTAATTGCTCAATTTTTTTTTTATCATGACATACATTGATTGATTGATTGTATGTTGTTTTACGTCCCATTCGAGAATTTTTCACTCATATAGAGACGTCACTATATACCGGTGAAGGGCTTCCAATTTAGACCTTTACTCGATACTGAGGGCCATTGAGCAGTGAGGGATCTTTATCGTGCCAACGCCTGCCGTGACACAGGGCCTCGGTTTTTAAGGTCTCATCCAAAGGACCCGCAACTTTCACTTCAAAGTGCCGAGCGCATGGCGAAGGAACAGTTGCTACTCATTTTTTTTTATCGACTTAGGTCAGTCGCGGCCGAGATTCGAACTCACGACCCCCCGATCACGATCATGCCATACAGGTCGTTTAGTTAGCATTTCCTACTGACCGACAAAATACAATATCCCTTTCCACTAGGTTTTTTAAAAATATTTAATTGAATGATTTTGGCTTCAGAAAAAATAAAAAAATAATGAAAGATGTTATGCCTGACAGTGTGTAAATCGTCTCCTCCCTAACCAAATATCACTATAGTTAACTATAGTAAACCATAGAAAGTGGTATTTTATTTTAATATGGAATTTTATTCTAGTTTTTTTCCCCGGGGGTTATATCAACTATATCTCTCAAATTACATTTCAATGATGTAAATTTTGGAAATTATATGTGAATAATTTAATTTTGTTTGTATTCTAGCCTCTGATTGGTTAATATCCAAAAAGGAACACAAATTATTTCTGTATAACCTGGTTTGGTATGGGGACACCCCCCCCTGACAACCAGCTGAATCGTCTGTATCCATGCAATCCTCTCATTTCCAGTCCTCGGGATTCATGGAAAATTCCAGATTTAATAAATGTACCTTTAACTTCAAACAGTAACTCGGATCTTACCACATGTAAACAAAAAACATGGCTGCTAGGACTATGTATCAGTTTTTACCTCCCCTCGCTTCCCATCACTTCCGTTACTAGGGTTGTATTATTGAGCGGCAAATTTGAACTAATAAAAAGCAACGAAATTTTACACCCACAGTTGTTTAATGATTTTAGAATTAAATTATAAGGAATGACTCTAATTCTTGGCCAAATTATTCGAGGATAACCTGGTTTGGGTCAGTTTACGCTGTTTTATAATCCGCTTCGCGAATTATAAAGCGTAAACTGACCCAAACCAGGTTATCCTCAAATAATTTGGCCAAGAATTAGAGTCATTCCTAAAATATACAAGTAATAATTTGTTTAAATATCAGAAAACCCCATTGAAGAGTTGCAGAAAATGAAATATAATAATTTGAAATTCAAATTAAAATCAAAAAAGCTTTGATAAGCTATCTATAAAATTTTGAATTACTATAGTCAAAACTTTAGTACTATGGTAAATTATAATTAACTATAATAGTAATCAATAGTACATGTGTATCTTATAGTGTATTTTTAGAGGTCATGTCGTGGAATATAAGTTTTCGTGGTATATTTGATTTTTTCGATTTCACGCACAATGCAACAGCGAAATGACGTCATATTTGTTATTAATAAAGGGAACCTTATAAATCTTTTCTGACAAAATATGAACCGTGTTTCGCCATCGCCAAATACGTACAGCGATTAAATTGTTTACAGCTCACACACTTTGACAATTTGCTTTATACTCGTGTTTGATTCAGTGGGCAATCAAAGTTTTACATTAAAATATATATGAAAAATAGTTTAAAATCTTCTTATCAAGAACAGCAAAGCCATGATTGGTGGTTTTTATATGGAAGCAGTCTAAGGAAGTGTATATTCAAATTTGTTCAAATCATGACTAGGTTAGGGTCACACTGAGCGAACAAAGTTTTACATAGAAATATATAGAATTTTTTTAAAAAAAAAATCTTCTTCTGAAGAACAGCAAAGCCAAGATTGCTTATATTTATATGGAAGCATTCTCAGGTAGGGTAGATTTATGTTTGTTCAAATCATGGCCCCCGGGGCTAGGGTGGGGTTAGAATGAGCGAACAAGGTTTCTGCTTTTTTTTCTAGAGAATGTGCTCAGTTGAGCGATGAGGTCCATAGGTATCTTATTTTGTATTCTTATATGACGCAGTATTTATTGAAACACTTCTACACGAAAGGAAGGTCTCTTGCTGTTGATTTCAATTCGACATCTAGATATAGTGATGACTTTTAACACTTATTATTTTATTCACACTTTTATTTTCCTCTGAACTCGAAAGATAAGTACACCACGGAATCTTACACGACTGCATCATATTTGGATATTTTAGTAGAAAAAGACATTGATGGCAAACTAACAACTGAACTTTATGATAAACGCGATGACTTCCACATTTCTATCGTCAACTTCCATTATTTATGTAGCAATATACCATCATCACGTGCGTATGGGGTTTATGACTCTCAGGTGATTAGAAACGCAGGAGCATGTTCTCCGTGTCAAAAATTTCAAAAAAGAGGCAAGCTACTGACAAATAAATTGGTGATACAAGTGAATAACAATTTCGTTTAAAGTCAACATTATGCAGAATCTATGGTCTGTACAATGACCTTGTATGCAAATACAATCTGTTGTGAGGTCGAATGTTGACTGACGTCTTTCATAAAAAATGTTAGGCAATCATTTTCATACGTAACTGACTACGGATAAGGGACACACAGTAGGTGTGTGCGGTCGAAAGTGGAGGCCTACTACTCCTTTGCACCTGATCTCAGAGTTCTGTGTTGGCTCTGCTCACAATTTACATTGTTTAAATTACATGTAGATACGCCTTATTCTTCTGTGCGTTTTTTCCCCTTGTTTCTGTGATTTATGTATAAGGAGACCTATGATTAAATATATCCATGACACTTTACAATTTCAAATTTATTTTCTAACGTAATTAATCCCACATAGCTATATTTTTTAAAACATGAATGTTTGGTTAAATGAAAATTTAAAAAAACTTATAGCCAGTATGTTAAAATAATAGAATATATTTTCGGAACAAATCAAATACAAATAATTATTTTTGGTTTTTAGATTGAGTGCTGCGCATGACGGAATCAACAACTCCTGCAATGGTAACGATGCTTATATCATGGCGGCGACATCTGTTCCTATGGATAATCAAAATCCCTGGAAATTTTCCATATGTTCCACGAATTATTTCACATCATTCATCAACAAACTGAACAGGTTGATTTTTTTTTTAGATCTCTCACAGTTCCCTGAATATAACAAACAGTTACACATTTCTTCATGTAAAAGTAGCTTTTATCCTGAACATCTATAGGTATATAAAAAAAACTCATAAAGAATTATTGATTGAAGCGAAAAATATATAAAGATTACTTGTAATCCAAACAGAGCCAATGAATAGGAAAAATTATAAATTAAATTTATCTCAAGAGGTACTTTGCTATTTTAAAAATGCAATACATATATTTGTGATCGAAACTTAAATATACTTCCCTTAGATGAACTTATATAAGATAGAATATATTCAATTCTATATGAACTTATTAAGGGATCAGAGGTCAAAAGCGTGACCGAATCACACGGCGATATATCTTGCCTTTACATATTTCTGTCACAGTAAAACTGGTTTCGGAATTTCTAACTTGATAGCGATGACAAAGATGAAATAATCAAAGCATATGAATATTTTTTGAATCGATAGATGTCTATTAGATATTCCTTCGGTGTGAAGAATGGTTTGAATAATTAAAAATCGCGCTTACCTTTTTAACCCAAAATTCCCTTGAAGGTATGCAAACTGAAACAGACGATATCACCCCTTTTGATTCAACATATATAAAGAACTCATAAAAAATGTAAGATTATTCTCAAAACCGATCATTTTTCTATCATTTTAAACAGAGATTTCCTGAACTTGATCGCTAAAATCATTGTAAACATTCAAATGTTGGAGCTAGGCGAACTTTCATGACCGAATATCTTCCAGTTCACATCAAAGTGATACGGCAGGTCGTTCGTGTAATATTTTTATTGGAATATGCGTCTCAAATGTAAATATAAGTAATAAATAAAAATCTTAAAAAGTTCACAGAGAAATGAACTTGGTTGGTAGTGATCAAATCTACTTAGAAGCCCTTCAGGCTTCACAGAATTTGATCACATGACCAACCAAGTTCGTTTCCCAGAGAACTTTTTAACCTTGTTATTTATTTCTTAAATATTTCAGCATGCTAGTCATGAAGGTTATGCATATTCAACATTTTGCCGTAACATATGTTTGTCTTATAAGCCGATTTGTTTTTATATTTTTAAGAAGCAGAATTTACTCAATCACTTCTTTATGAGAAGAAAACACTTGCTGTAGGATTCAACTCAACATGTAGATATACGCACGAGGATATTTTTAATTAAAAATAGTTATTTCCATTCATATTTCAACTCGATATACTGTAGAAGTACTTTTTCCGCGTGGTATTAATTTACGCTATGTACGCGCTCACAAACTTTCCACGGAAATTTGTCCTAGCGTACATAAAGTATATTAAAGGCATTGAGTGGCAAACTAAGAATAATAATTTTCTATCCGCGGGTTGAACAAAAATTGTGATTCAGCGGAATTTTGACCCGTGGAAAAAAAAGTATGCGTACAGTATCCCAGTTAACTCTAAAATAAAGACATCACAGAGTCTGCCACATCTGTTTCATATTTGGATGTTTATTGACTATAGACGACGAGGGCCACCTAACAACTAAATTGTTTGACAAAAGAAATGACTTCAGCCTTTCAATTAGCCTTTCAATCGTTAACTTTCCTTTTTTAGGTAGTAATATATTTCACTATTACCTGCATATGGTGTTTATATCTCCCAATCTATTCTAGAACATGCTCTGAGTACAATCAATTCTTAAACCGAGGCAGGCTACTGACAACTATGCTAATGCTACAAGAATTTGAACAATATCGTTTGAAGTCAGCATTTCTAAAATTTTAGTCGTTATATTGATCTTGTTAGTAAATCTATCCCGGAATTTTCAACTACCTGATCAATTCATAGGTCTCTCGGCGGGTTTGACGGGTCGACAGAGAATGCTTATCTTTTATGCTTGTTATATTTTGGATTTTTTCAACGGGAGATAATCAAGAATTAGTCAAAATTTAATGGCATCCTTTAAAAATCTTGTTATTACATACTGTAGATTCAAGTTTGTTCAAAGCATGATCCAAGGGGAAGAAGGGGTCATAATGAGCGAACAAAATCTTACAATTATGTATGAAGAATCTTTAAGAATCTTCTTGTCAAGAACTTCAAAGCCATGATTGGTAATATCAATATGGATGCATCCTCAGGTACTGTAGATTCAAGTTTTTTTTTTCAAATCATGACCCCGTCCTCTGCCATCCGGGTGTTGTAGGACCACATATATTTAAACTTTTCAATGCTAAACTGAATTTTTGTTTTCTAGCCAAAGTGCTCAGGTGAGTGATGTGGCCTATAGTCCTCTTTTATAGATTTAGTTAATTTTTTTCTTGACAAAGTTCTACATTTTTTAACTGCATATCATAACTGTTCACTAGGTTCCAAACACAGGCCTGTCTTTGTTGTAAGTAAAAGACAAGAGTTTATTTTGTCACGAAGTTTGGAAAAATAGTTTTCTCACCAGAACGATGCCAACATTACACAAATATTGTAAATAAAGCAATTTGATTGATTGATCGATTTTATGTTGTTTTACGTCCCGTTCGAGAATTTTTCACTCGTATAGAGACGTCACCATATACCGGTTAAGGGCTTCAAATTTAGACATTTACTCGGCACTCAGGGCCATGGAGCAGTGAGGGTTTTTTATCGTGCCAACGCCTACCGTGACATGGGGCCTCGTTTTTTAAGGTCTCATCCAAAGTACCCGCAACTTTCACTTCACAGTACCGAGCGCTTGGCGAAGGAACAGTTGCTACCTATTTTTATCAACTTAGGTCAGTCGCGGCCATGATTCGAACACACGACTTTCCGATCACGGAGCGAGCGCTCTACCGACTGAGCTACCGTGACGATTAAAGCAATTTGAAAATATGTGTTGCAAATCTTTAATTTAACAAATACAATGTATTACACTGAAAATGATCAAGGAGAGATATTAATTAAAGTAGATTTCCTATTAAGTATCCATGTTTTTAGTTTAAAAAATACACTTGTAATAGACATTTAACCATATTGATTTAAGTCACCATATTATTTAAAAAGTATTGGCACTGTTTTAAATTTATGCATACTAATAATGCTTTTAGGCTTATGTGAGCCATAGGGCTCAAGTGAACATTTCTGATCAGAGTTTATCCAGCATACGTTATGTCTACATGTGCGTCATTGTGAACTTGTCGTATTTTCATCCTCTTTTCTACATCTACTGAGTCAATTTAAACCAAAATTGCCACAATGCATCCTTGTGTGACATTTATTAGAATAAAGAGGCACACCCTAACTCAAAGGGAGGTAATAAATAGTTAAAATAGGGTTGGATCAATTAAAATCTTAGTAAAGACTAGACCTGAAAAAATAAAGACGAGGAAGCTTTCTTATGTATTTAGATTCAAGTAATTTAAATGTTGAATCATTGGGCAAATCATCGCATCCTATACTGTGCATTGTGGGTAAAATTCTACAAAGAGATATTTTCAACATCATTGCAAATCACAGGTTCTAATTTGTTACTGCTTCTACAAATGAGTGAAGGGAATTTAATCCCAAGATCCTCCTCTTAAGTTTTAACCCCTACTGTATACTGCTAAGTGAATCAAGATTTTTTATGTCAGGAACATCAAGGTCCCCTGCTTGTGTGAGTGTATACTTGTATGCTTCTCATACTAATTGTTAGGCCAATTTACACACTGAATTGTCTACGGATTTTTCCGTATGACCGAACATGACAAGGAGCAGGATCAGGACTCCCAGGGGTAGAGTAGGGCCACAATGGAGGATCAAAGTTTAACATAGGAATGTATAGTAAAAAATATTTAAAAATCCTCATTAGAACAGAAATGTCATAATTAGTCATATTAATATGGAAGCATCCTAAAGTAGTGTAGATTCTAGTCTGTTCAACTTAAGCCCCTGGGGGTATGGTTTGGCCACAATAGAAGATCAATTCTTAAAAAGAAATATATGTTTAAAAAAATGAAAATACAAAAATAAATTAAAAAGAAAAAAATGTTTAAAAATCTTCTCAAGAACAGAATTCCATGATTAGTCATATTGATATGGAAGCATCCACAGGTAATGTAGATTCAAGTTTGTTCAAATCAAGACCTCTGTGGTAGTGTGGGGCCACAAAGGGGCATCAAAGTTTTACATTGGAATTTACATGGAAAAATCTTTTAAAAAACGGCACGTGAAACCGGTCTACAAAGAATGCTTACTCCTCCATGGAACCTGACCCCACCTCTAATGCTTTTAGTGGTCCTTGTTTGCTCTGCTACCGATTTGTATTTTTCAATTGACTTTTGAGCTTGATTACTATTTGTTATTTCCATAGTTCGCAAAAACTAATAGAGTCACAAATACTAAATCAATATGCAAGCATCCTTTTTGCATAAATACACGTTTGTTCAATTCATAGTCATTGGAGCTTTGGTAGGCTTTTTTTTTTAAATCTTTAAAAGAAATTCTGGTTGGAGCAAAGCAAGTCAAATTAAAATGCAACGATCCTCATGAATAAACACATCATTGAAGAAACATATTTTGTCGAAATGCGTATCTGGTGCATCGAAATTGGTACCGTATATGATTTATGTATCAAAGGTTACTAAGAAATGAAATATGAAGATAACAAACAGTATTCAATCTCGAAAGTCCAATGAAACGATACAAATTAGGAGCAGAGCAAACACAGACCTCAAATTTTAGAGGTGTCATAGAGGACTGAGCATCCCCTGCCGACCGGTCACACCCGCCGTGTGCTCCTTGTCATGATCGACCCCCCCCCCCCCCGAAAAATCCGTAAAAAGATCTGTGTATAAATAATTTAATGGCCTAACAATTAGTATAAAAAAGTCAGTCAGCATTTGACTCAATGATAGGTTGTGTTCTGACAAGGTCATTGTATCGACCATACAACTTGCGAAATGATGACTTCAAACGATCAAACGAGACTGTTGATATTCTTGTTTAATAAACTTGTTAGTCAATACTTTAGCTCGTTTTAGAAATTGTCCATACGTAGAGTATACTCTTACGTTTAGAATCAACTGAGAGATATAAACCCCGTATGCAGATGATAATGGTATATTGGTGTGTATATATTCATTTGATCAGGTCACAGCCTTCAAAGTTATTAAAGGGCCTTAATTGATTTAATTTTCTACATGTCCATTTCTTAAGCTGTGAAATGTGGTTTGGGTGAGGTTTGTGGCATATAGGCCTCTTGTTTCAATATGTCATGAAAGTAGACTTAAAAAGTCAGTGATACCAACATTTAAGAAAGTAAAGTCAATGAATTATCCCTACTTAATACATCAACAAATACTATATAGATTTAACATTTCAGGCCGAAATCTATATACAATACGCCGATATTTTAATGGCGAACAGAAAGTAAACATTTCGATTTAGTCGAAATATATTTTCAACATTTTCAACGTTGATATGCAATGATAAACTGAAACATCATTTTTTACCACTCAGCTAGTGTATCTTAGCTTATCGAATTACAAAATGACAGGGAAAACAACAACTGTATGACTGTCTTAAGTCCGGAGTTCAACCCTGACGCATTAAAACAATACACAGCACTTCCTGGTGAGATATATGACGCAGACGCACATTGCCGACATATTTTGGGTTCAGAATCGTCATTTTGTAAGGTAAAAATTGATTTTATCACCTCATATAAAATAATTAAAATTTCTGAAAGATAGATTGATAATAGAATTGTACGTCTCCATAATACTCGGATAGGGGTTCAGTTGTCCAATGATTATGGAATTTTTATTCATATAGGACGTTTACAACCAAAACTTTACATCCATCTGCACTAAATTATGGTGTAAAAAGACTGATGGAAGTGGTTTGTGTATCTCAGCTGTTGGGGGAGACGGAATTCAATGTGGAAATAAAAAAGTACATTAAAGTGTAACATGTATACTGTATTCAAACTGTAAATCCAAAGAAATAAGATGTTTTTCATTCACATTGGCATATACATCAAACAAAACTTAAACTGACAAGATATCAATTGAAACACTTTTTTTTTCCCAAATCTTTCATTTCAGTGGTGTATTGCTGGTGTGTGTAAAAATGATGAATGTGCACCTCCTGGTGATGGTAAGAAAGATTTTATTATATACAGATTAGATATAGCAGGCTATGTTGGTGTACGAAAATATAATGGACTTTTTAAGAGTAAGTAATTTGGAATTATCTATCGAATATGATATGTCTTACACGTAACCTTTTTAAAAGCTTCATTTCACCCCAAATTTGCACTTAATACTTAATATTTAATACCAAGTATAAAACATCATACAGACGGGGTATTTCTATTTTAAGCTTAAATACATCATACCTTTGTAAAACGACAATAGTGATGACTTCACCTGTTTAATTTTTAATTGTGACATAATAATAAGTACGACGTAATAATGCATTATATGAGAGACTGCTCTATTTTAGACATTGATACATGATGAAAATTATTATCTTTTTCATTAACTGCTAAACAAATATTAAAACATTTATAGCGTTTTGTTTCGGAATACTCCCTAAACATATAGACCTTAAAGAAAAGCATATCGACCGAGAAAGAAGTGTTTGGTCCACATGCTTTTTCTAGGGTATATATATCCAGATTTACCAATGAAAAGGTTATATTTCTTTACAGAACTTTTGCAACCAAAAGAAATTCAAAAATGAAAAAAAGATATAACAAAGGATTATTATTACAGGAGAAAAGATAAATTATGGAAAATGATTAAAAGCTGAAACTTCTTACAACCGTAATTATTTTCAATATTAATATTTGCATCTTTGTTTTTGGTGTCTGAAGTGAGACAGAGAGAATCTGAAGTGGACAACAGCTTTCAATGTTATAACCTGATACATTTCTCACTGACAAATTTTCAAGTGCCGGTTCCTGGAAGGTGATAGATCAAAAGGAAGGACAATTTATACTTAGCATACAGGAGTATCTAAAAAAAATTCTCACTGTCTCATTCAATTTTACTTTATTTTTTATGTAGATATCAAACAAACATGATTATACTCACTGACCAAATTGAGGTATCCAAAATACCCCCATTAAGAAATTATTTCTTCTGTAAGTTTTTTACTCAGAAGTATTGATCCAAGTAAAATATCTTGATCCTTTAATCTTTTACGAAGATTTTGTAATTAGGCTTACATTTATAGAACAAATCTTCATTCATAAATATAATGTACGAGGATTATTCAATAAAGTAAACTTATTCATAGCTTATTTATTTAACACCATTTTACAACCAAACAACCATCCAAGGTAGCTCAGTCGGTAGAGCGCTCGCTCCCTGATCGGGAGGTCGTGAGTTCGAATCTCGGCCGCGACTGACCTAAGTCGATAAAAAATGGGTAGCAACTGTTCCTTCGCCATGCGCTCGGCACTTTGAAGTGAAAGTTGCGGGTCCTTCGGATGAGACCTTAAAAACCGAGGCCCCCTGTCACGGCAGGCGTTGGCACGATAAAAATCCCTCACTGCTCAATGGCCCTGAGTGCCGAGTAAATGTCAAAATTTGAAGCCCTTCACCGGTATATGTTGACGACTCTATATGAGTGAAAAATTCTCGAACTAGACGTAAATCAACATACAATCAATCTATCAAAAAAGAAACATTGTAGGTATTGTATTTATAAACAATGTGTCCGAACAGTTTGAATTTAAAAACAAATTAAATTAAATCAGGATATGTTTGAGAATTCTTAATTTAAAACTAAATACATTGGCTCATGGAGCACATCAGAATTAAATAATTCACAAAGAACACACTGTGTAATGTCATCAGTCATATCTCTGTAAAAATGGCACTGAAAGGAAACAAAATGTGAGCATATAAAGAAGTTGTTGCATCTTTTCATATGCAGGTTGATGACTTGATAATTTAACTCGTCGAACATAGAGCAATTGCAGAAGCCAGATAGTGCTTATTGAAACAAAAAAAAAATGTCGCCACAGGACATCATGGAACATCGAGTAGCAATACCTTTTGTGTTGCACTTGGAAACACTAAAAAATAAATAGATGTATCTAAAAATGATAGAGGAAGCAGGAAAATATAAATGAGGAGTGTATATCAATTTAAATGAAACTACAGAGTGTATGTTTTGTTCCTGAATTATGCAAGTGTGGATGAGTTTAATTATGTTTTGCACCTATATCAACCACGACTGTGACAATTAAGGCATGAAAAATGTGTCCTACTCCTTTAAAAAAATCTGCGTAATATTAATGGACCTGAAACGAAAGATAGAACATTTCCAATTATCGTGACAATTGATTCTGAGCCAGTTTCTAATACTTTCATATACCATCATTCTCTTACAGAATCGTGTCTGTATGGCGATACAAAAGCCAAAGTTTTCGAATTCAGCGGAAATGATATAACCTGTTCCTTTGAAGACATAAAGAAATACCCATTCGTTTGCTACTCGGTTAATACTCGTTGTTGCCGACAGTGTCAGAACTTCTTTACAGGAATAACAGGTATTAAAAAATTGATTCATATTTAAAACATGAAGTACTTTAAGACGTGATTGAAATTGTAATATATATATATATATATATATATATATATATATATATATATATATATATATATATATATATATATATATATATATATATATATATATATATATATATATATATATATATATATATATAATGAATGTACTTGAGGTTTGATTGCCATGTTATTGTCTGGCACTCAGAATAAATAATTCTTTGAACACTTCCTTTGTGTGAACTTTGATACTTATATTTCTTAGCCAATATTCTACTAAATTTTGCTTTTAGGTTGTGAATATGGAGACAAAACTACAGGATGTTCATTGTTTCACTGTCCAAGTAACCCAGATATCTGCTGTGGAACATGTTACAATGGACCAGCAATAACTACACCATCGCAAGAACCAACAACACAAAAGTACCAAAACCCGTGTAGATCAACAGTAACATCTGCTTCTCCTGAACAAACAACCGCGAAATCATCGACACCAGTATCATCCAAAACAACAAAACCACCGATAACAACTCCAGCACCATCAGCAACTTCAACGACGACTACAATACAAACAACTGCAACATCGACAACAACAACAGTACAACATAAAACAACCATACAACAAGAAACGACGACACCTAAGCCCACATCAGTGTCTACTTTGTTGTTTATGTTTACAATAACGTTGTCAATTGATATTCCAGAAGATTTGTCAGACCATGCTCAGAAGATAGCCGTTATGTCAAAATTACAAACAATGGTATGAGTGTTGTCATACACTAAAACTTTCCTAGAAATCTTTTAATTACAATTTTCTTATTATTTATTTAGTTCACCTTTGAAACAAAAACAAACATATTTACACACATTTAATTTTTTGAATAGAGGGGATGTTATTTTAAATATTACTTGTAAGTTTACATGTGATTTATTTCATTTTTATTTTTAATATTTTTCCAGCTTGTGTTATTATACAAAAATGAGCTGAATTCCAGATTTATCAGCTGTGTTGTACAAACTCTTCAGTAAGAATAAATAAATACATTCTATAAATTTTTTTTAAAAAAAATTAGATTTCATTTTTCCATTGTGGTTAACATTAAGATAATAAGGATATTGTGATTTGCTTTAACATACATTACATAAACAACTTTCTCTCTTCTATTTTGTACATAACACTAATTTTGTATAATTCTCTATCAAGTAAAGGCAGCCTGAAAGTCAGTTATGATATCAAAACAACAAGTGAGTCCAAGTCGACATCAAATGTGGCATCTCTCTCCAGAAATATGGCTTCAGGGAATTATAAAGTGATGTATGAAGGCAAAGAAGTGACGGTATCTTCTATAGCTATAACAGACTCAACGGGCACATCTCGTAAGAATTGTATACAATTACAGTTATTGATATCACGAACTGTCATTCACAATAACTGTAATATTTTCAACAGTTTCACAATGGTGAAATGCAATTTCAAATTAATCGTGCTATTGTCAAAAACTCCCTTCTTTCATAGATTTACTTTTTATTCGAAGTCTTAAAGAAAAAAAATATAGCATTTAGATAGAAAATAAACCTCTTTTCTTGCTTTACAATGACATGTGATGGATCTGCTTGGAATTCTCATCACTATCAATACAGAAACGCAAACATTTATTATGCCCTTGATTTTTTTCTAATTACGCAAAGTAAATTTAAATCTAAATATTCTTATCACCTACATACGGTTTTTTTTGTCTCCCAGTTGCTTCGATACGCAGGAGCAAGCATGCTCTTTGTATGAAAACTTTCTAAAACGAGACAAACCATTGACAAACAAAGAAATCAACAGTCTCATTTGAAGTCGTCATCATTTCGCAAGTTTAATGGTCGATACAATGACCTTATCAGTAAATACAACCTATCATTAAGTCAAATTCTGACTGATGTTTTTCATACTAATTGTTAGAACATTATTTACACTCTGAACTGTCCATTTTTCCCGATTATGACAACGAGCACACGGCACGTATTACCGATCGGTAGGGGATGCTCACTCCTCCATGGCACCTAATCCCACCTCTGATGATCTTGGAGGCCAGTGTACTCTGCTCCCGATTTGAATTGTTTAAATGGACTTTGAGCTTGAATACTGTTAATTTTCTTCTACAACACTGTTATATTTAGAATTATAGAATAAAAAATATTTATTTTTTATTATTATACCTTCAAAGATTAATAAACTGTAAGATTCAGATGCTAAAATCAAAGCTCATAAATTTCGTAATTAGTGAAATGTTACATGTTATTCCGAATATGAAGGATAAGCTCATAAATTAAAGGTAGAGAGAATTTTTTTGGATTGGAAAATATTCTAGTTTGGGATATTTATTTTATATTTAAAGTTTTGGATTTAGATTCATTTTCATGGAGATACTCTGCGAAAGGATATATAATGCAATAATACATAGTGCATTCATTTTGTTAACAAAATCAACAAACACAAAAAGAAAATCAAAAACAATAAATCAGTCATGCACAGTTTACATAATCGCTCACCTCTAAGCAATTGTATTACGGTCACTCACCTATAATGAAAACTTGCTTGAAAAGGCATTAAAGAAACAAGAATGATTTTCTTTGTAGCTTTTTTCTTAAAAAGACACAGTTTATTAATACTTATGTGGACTACTTTATGAAACATGATAGAATAAATGAAAAAGTTAAATTTCAATTTAAGGTATGATAAGCAAAGTAACCCCAGACTGTGAAATTCTACAAGTAGTTAATCCTTGTCCCAGTGATTACGAGTGTGTGAATTCAAACCGTGGGCCAGTGTGTAGGTGAGTAATATAACACATTATGTTATCCATATTAATGATAAAATATTTACATACACTGAAGATATATCCCTTTATTTCTTATGAACTATCCACTTCTTTTATCAATCAGTATAGAACGGGCTTTTCTCAAGCCACTGTTTGTGAAACTTATGAAACTTATAATTGCATACATATCAAAAATACAATATTTCACGTACTCATATATACCTACTTCATTTGATTATTTATCCAGACAAAAATTTAAGCAATAAAATTAAAATCTATCTTTGTTAGTGCGGGAATTAACGGTTGCAGCTATTGCAGAAAAATTTTACATAATCAGTTTTCGCGGGTTATGTATTTTTTTCTGCAACAGCTGCAACATAAATGTCTGTACTATGAAACAAAGAAAACATTTTTTGTTTAAATATCTCCGTTAATCTAGCTACGTGTATTACAGGTATTGAATTGATAATGACAATCATTAATTTCCATTCTGTTTAATCTAGGCCATCTTTTAAAACATCGTCTTGTTGCCCTCTCCCGGCCGTCTGGCTAAAAATGACTCGATAAAAAACTTTTTTTGACCTCCAGGAAGCAATTATTTTTTATGCATTCCGGAAAATAGATTTTGAAAAAAATAGCATTGAAATTGAAATTTTCTGGAAAAAAAATTCTCACCTACCTACCGACCAATTTTTTTCATCCTGAGTCGAGAGAAGGCAAACAAACATTATTTTTAAGTTGGCCCTACAAAGAAAATCTTTTATTTATACAGAAAAAAATACTACCGATAAATTGTCTTTCTTTTTTTTTGTTAGTACGGGATTTAACAGTTGCATCCATTGCACAAAAAAAGTATATAACCAACTTGCGCGTGTTTTGTATTTTTTCCACAACAGCTGCAACTGCATTTCTGTACTTAAATTCAAAGAAAGCATTTTATTGTTTAAATATCTCCGCTAACCTACGTAGTAATATATAATAAGTCTTGAATTAATTATTACAATAAAAAAATTCCATTTTATTTCATCTGCAGAGAAAATCTTCCAGAAAGTAATCTAAGCAGTAAGTATTTTAGACTTTTGATTTTAAGATCGTATGTAATGTAAAGCTTCAAAACTTCTAACAATCTTCATGATCTGTATTTTTTTGCCATGTGAAATATAAAGCATTCTAATAAGTGATAATTAAAGATTCCATGAAAACGGAAAGGAACGGGGTCTCAAGAAATGCAAACATCTTAGGCATGTTTCATTTTTATACCACTTTGTCTAATTGAGAAATGAGAAGCTCGTAGATTAGACAACACGTATACTTCTTTTGAAAAATCATTTCAAATACCGTAGATGTACTTTTCTCCTCTTGGGATTTATTTTGCTAAATTCACAAATTCACAAATTTTCCGATCATTTGAAGTGCGCTTAAGTCATAAAATGGCAATCCAAGAAAGTAATAATTTTCTATCCGCGGATTGATCATGATTCTCCAGATTTATCCACAGATTGAATCCACAGAAAAAGTACATTTTCAGCAAGTTCTAAAGCATATTGGCTACCTGAAAGAAGAAACAAAGATTTGATGCAAGCTTAGATAAAGGCTATAAAAATCGTATTGTCGTATCAAAAGCAATTTATTAATAATTAAATATAAAATTTAACATTTTTTTATCTCTGAAATTAAAAGGTTTTCATTTTAGAGTACCGGGATTACATAATCTATGTTGGAATAGGGGCTTTCCTTTTGGTTTCCTTGTTCATAACTTGTATTTGCTGTCTTCATAAGAAGCGAAATCGGGCACGAAAGAAGGTGATGAAAACACAGTTCGATGGATTTACTAATCAAGCTAAGGTATGTTTGTAGTTAAAAAAGGTGAAGATAACCGCAGTGATCGATCTCATAAATCTTTTAAATAGTATATAATGAATAGAACAAAACCACAGACTCATGGAAACGCCAAAGATAAGATCATGTGTCTAGGAGGAGTAATCATTCCTTTTCTGACATACTTCTCATGAGCCCTGTGTATTGATTTGATAAACGGAGCAATCTGTAGTGAAAGTGTTGTAGCAATGACCTAAAAATTAGTATGAAACATATCTGTCAAAATACAATTCTACGATAGGTTATATTTACAAACAAGGCCAATATATCAACCATAGAATTTGCGAATTGCTTATTTAAAACGAGATTGGTGAAAGCCCTGTAATATAAACTTATTTGACAGTTGTCTGTACCTGTTTTAATATTAGTCTTACTCGGAACCTGTTTTCTATACCGTATAGGTGCATGGAGAGCTAAAAGAAACCCATATGCAGGTGAAATTGAAATATATATCAATATATAAAAAGGAAAGTTGCTGAAGTCACGAGGGATATAAGAAAAGCGGAATTTTGAGATTCAATTCTCATGACATTACTTCCAATGCATCAGGTGGTCCTATAATATGTGTTGAAAATAGTTTTTCTTAAAAAAAAAAAAACATATTTGTTGCTTGCAAAAATAAAAGACATTAGTTGCTTAAAATAATGTACAATTATTTAATATCTAATCAGTCAACAGATTAGATTATTTTTCCAAGGTGTTGGGAAGAGCTCAATTTTCATGTGTTTTTTTTTTTTGCACGAGGCCAATTTGAAAAAAGTAAAAAATACTATATATCTAATATCTAATCTAATGTCTAATAAAACAACAAAATCGGGGGAGGTATGCATAAATATTCTTAAGCCCTTAAGCATATACTTAAGTACCATTTTCCTGCATAGCAGATTGATTTTTACTTAGCATATTGCTTAGCATGTTGTATAAAACTTCTAAACTTTTAAGTATATGGTATGTATATATAAAAAATAAGCATGGTCTTTACCTGTCGCAAGTTCTTAAGCATATTGCAAGCAAAAAAAACCATCCAGGTCTGGAAGGATAAATATGTTATTGAAATACTGTCCTAGGCTAAAAAAAACTTTCAGCACTCGACCATATTTTCATTTAAATCATAGTGCAGAAAACTTCTTAAGTTCCATTATTTGGAGAATTGGTACAAATAAAGAGATTTTTTTTATCTTCAACTGGAAAGCTTGGTACACATGTAAAATCAATCAACATTTTGGTTTTGAAAACTCTTTGACAATTTTGATTAATTTTGATCAGAGAAAGACACTCACTTAATTTAGAATTTTTGCACACAAACTTAGAATTGTAACAGGCAGATACTTGGGCTTCTTTAGGACTGAAAGAACTTGTTACTTCTTGTTTTTTTCTTCATGTATGAGATGTTTTACTTCTTTCTTTGCCATTATCTTTGTAAATTTAGTCGTCCTTATACAAGTTTCCTTGAGCAAAATTTAGCATAATTAAGAAAATTTTTAAATTTGTTATGCATACAAATCCAGTTGTATTAGGTAATAAAAAATATTCGTCGCATTGTTGGACTATAACTGCAAATTTCTTTTTATATTTTCCTATGTTCATTAAAACTATTGAATGATTTATTTCATTGAAATTTTGAAATATATATAGAGGATATTTTTTACATTTTCTTTGATTTTCCCTGTGCCCCTGTCTTTTGTTAACACAGTCTTATAGGCTGTGACGTCATTAGTTGAGCGGTTGAGACGTCATAGCTTAATAAGATTGAAAACATTGTAACATGGATTTTAGGGGAGAAATTGGCAGTTTTAGTCTCTATCAAGACGGTTTAGTTAATATCTCTATCTTATAAGAGGCCAGAAATTATTTTTACTTACCTTGATATCCTTTCACACTGTGAGAGAATATCACTTTGGTATCCTTTCACACTGTGAGAGAATATCACTTTTATTCAGTAAATAAATCACAGTTTTTCACTGTTGAAAATGTAATAATATTATATTATTCCATATTATCATATTGTATTGTATTAAAATATTTTATATTATATTGGACCGACATAATTAGGTTTTTTTGTATTTTACAGAGATACGCTGACAATAATCAACATAGAACCAGAAACACTTACAAAGATGGTAAATTTTGAAATCTTCCATTTGGATTATGTTGAAAATTTGTTCACATTAAGTGTCAAGTTTAATAGCCCCAAATATTTTCATCGGGACATAATCAAAATATGTTTTCAGCCGTGTTAAAGTATAAACCTAAATTTGCATGTTCTACTACCTGTATTTCTCGTGATATTAGTAATACATCAGAAAGTTGTAGTTGTCATATAATCAATTTGATTGTCTTTTCAATAAATTATATACAGAAGTATATCATTCTTGATATTCGTATTTTTGTGAAAATTGATTTTCATTTATGAAATCATTGTTCATAAAAAGGGGGAGGGGGTACGTGTGAATGCTTTTTGCTTAATTGTAGTTCTTGCATTTTTGCATCTTTTTAAACGACTTTAATCTTGCTCATAAACTTTGAAGTAAACAACATGGGAACTGCAGACTTGGCCCAGGTGAATAAAAACGAATCATATCCAGAACCAGGGTCATTTTGACCAGGTCAAGTTTTCAGGGGTTTAAGTGAGCATAATATACTCCAGGATCAGCTGATCTTATTTTAAGAAAAACTTGAGAAGTCCAGAAATTTTCCGAAATCTTTGTTTGGAGGTCAGCAGTTCAACATTATCAGCAGTTGATACTAGCTATTATTATAAAGTATGATAAATTTAATAGTCCACTTCATTAGCATCGAAGGTTTATTTTAATACATTACTATCAATCATAATCAAAATCCAGGACCCCCTAATGAGCGACAGTTCGATTGTTTTCAACGAGAGCATAAGACAACAAGAAAAAATATGAATGTTGATGACGCTTTAATCAAATTGCAAAACTACTATTAGAAATTGTCAAACAAGCAAGTCTTCGAAAGAAAACATTTAAATAAATTTCACGATCACAAGACATTTTTGCTAGGCAAAGCAAAATCAATTTTTGGAAAATATGTACATGTTATTTTTAACATGCATTTGCCTGCAAAGAAAAAGTGGCATCCATGGATAGTATAAGACTGCGATAGAATCTGACAATCAAAAGAAAATATGGTACCATAACCTTCAAGTGAATAATTAAAATAAAATTATTAGAATTAAATATTTGTTATTTTATTAATATGTGTTTACAACAATCCTCTAAAAGAGATTTCAGTCTGTCTTTACTGCAATTGTCAGTCTACACGATCCATTGTTGAATACCGATCCCGATTTTTTATGGTATTTAAATATGTTTGTGTGGATACTGAAGAACATACAGTTTTAAAGTACTTTTCATGAGCTAAAGGTGTATAATCATTCAAAAGAGATTTCAGTTTGTCTTTGCTGCAATTCTCAGTCTGCACGATCCATTGTGAAATACCGATCCCGATGTATTTTCATAGTATTTAAATATGTTTGTCGGGTAACTGAACATCATACGGTTTCAAAGTACACTATCATGGGCTCATGTGTTAATGCTATTTATAACCGTGCCCCTTAAAATTCATACATTTAATTAAACTGCCCGAGAAACTTTTTGCAAAGTAGGTCAAAGGTCAAGGTCAAGTGGATTGTAATACTTGTATTTTTCATATTGTCTTACGACAAACAGTGCACATGCTAAATATCAAAGACTTATCTTTTGAATGTCAAACATATCTTATATATCGGCACTATGAAATATTTTGAAAAGAAGGTCAAAGGTCACGAGGTCGGTAACTATGAAAATTCACAAAAGCCATAGTGCCAAGCATTAAATGTGGAAAATATCAAATCCATAGCTCTTACAGTTCTTGAGATATAAGGTGTGACAGACGGACAGACAGACGCCGGGTAAAATGATCCCTTGGTGCCGCTCTGCTCTGCAGGTGACACAATAAGGGGCGGAGGGGATTGTGCCATGGTAATAAATACCAAAAAAAGATCAAAGTTAAGAATTTCTTGCCTTCCTGCTAAGAGCAATTTTTTTTCAAAAAATATAGTTTGTATAACATTGATACTTAAGATGAAGTGGGATGCTTGCGTAATTTTCTTATGGGGAATGGAAGCCAAAAATTTTCCCACCTGTAATATATATATATATATATATATATATATATATATATATATATATATATATATATATATATATATATATATATATATATATATATATATATATATATATAGTCGTACTTTATTATATATTTATAATATATAAAACGATCCTCTAATAAAACTAATATCCAAATAACTGCATCTCTCTTCCATTCTCGATGATAGTGTAGTGTAGGACAACGCCGCGAGAATTTCATCGGCATTGAAAGCTAGTTTTAATGACAAACGATCTAGCGCGCTTTTCCTGTACTGCTAGGCGACAGATTCCGTTGATCGAGAGTTCAACCCCGGGCTGGGGTAGAAGTGGGTATCCTTATAAAAGTGAATTTCTTTGTGCTTTCTATATTAATATTTCTTCACTTAGGGCAGTTATGTTAGTTTAAGAGTTGATGTAAAATGTGCTGTATAAATATAATTAATTCATTACAATGTGTATCGGTGACGATCCTCTAATGAAACTAATGTCCAAATAACTGTATCTCTCTTCCATTCTCAATGACCGTGGAGTGTAGGACAGCGCCGCGAGAATTCCGTCGGCATCGAAAGCAAGTTTTAATGACTTGCCTAGATGGCCGAGCTAAGCAGAACTTTACTCATCACCCAGACACTTTATCTGACATGAATCATATTGCTTCCATTTAACCGTTTTAAAATATTTATTTTGAAGTATATATTTTAATGTTTACATTGATATATACATAGTACATTTTTTTTACTCCAGTTTTTTTTTAAGTTTTACAATGAGTATAAAATACAACACAATTTTATCTGTTACTGTAAATAATCAAAATCATTTATAATTTAGTAAAAAAAAAAGATCTGAAAAAATAATTAATATTAAGGTATATGTTTTTTATTTATTAATTTTTGTTACAAGAAACTGATAGAATAGCCAGTTTTGATAATTTTTTTTAAATAAAGTATATTGGACTTTTTAATGTCTATTCATGTTTTATGAGCTTTTGTCGTTCAGTTCTTCGCAATTCTCCGTTGGATCCTCCCGCGCTAGTGTTACAAAACATATAAATAAAAACAAAAGGCATTCAAAATAAAAAGATTGTTTTGGGGGTATTTTAATTTTCAAGTATATTAAGCATTTTGCAAAATACCGGAGATGGAGTGTTAATATTTTTTTCTATCTATCCTTCTCAATAATATTAACACTCCATCTCCGCACGTTTTGCAAAATGCATGTTGAATTACAGCTCAATTTGGAGAAATAAACAACAATTTTTAAAGAAAATGCTCGTTCATAGAGTAAAAAATATTACATGTATTTACATTATACAAACGCTCAGTTCTGAATGACAATGACCGTGAAGCGATCGCCAGACCAAAACTGATGCGGCATTTGCATCAGCTGGCATTGTTTACGTTAACTATCATCTCTCGTGATGCCCCCAATGCAAGATGGCGTCCAATAACCTTGAAAGGGTCTATAAAACATTGACACAAGCGTAATAGCAAAATAAGCCACATGTAACATGTCAGTTGTCAGATATAACTACTTTGCTATTTTTAAGTGAGAAACAACGAAAAATTGGATTAATCACTAAAAATGTGTATACGCACAATGTCTTAATGTCTAATGTATATCTGTTGAAAGAGACATAATTTGCATATGACGTCATAATCGCCACATGACATAGAAACAAAATTTTAATTCGTATGAGTTTATGTCGCATTAACTGTCTTGTGGACGAAATTTAATTCTTATTCATTTGATTCACATTATTTATTTTATTTTATTTTTTCTTTCGAATTAAAAAGTTAATGCAAATTTTATGTGAACAGGGATAATTTCAAGTAACAGCTTTTTTTCTTTTTAAAATCAGCTTTTCTCTACGGACAATATATGAATGAAAAAGGTGAAGATGAGGAACAGTGATCGATCTCAAAAAAGCTACAAACAATACAAATCTGTGAACAGGGCATAAAACACGGACCCCCGGATATTCAGGAATTGTGATCAAAATTTATCTTTATTTAAGAAATAAGGAATCATTTTTAAACATCTATCGGGATATAAATACGGGTCGGTCATGAGATCAAATTCCATAAAGCCCGAAGGGCTTTATGGTAAATTTGATCTCGTAACAACCCGTATTTAAATCCCGATAGATGTTTTGAAATGATACCTTATTACTTATATTTTCATTTGTGACTTATTCATATTTTATATTTGGCTGATTATATATTTTAACCCGTGAAATGTTTTATTTTTTCAAACTGAACGGCACGAGTTTGATCTATTGATTGCGCGTGGACCCTTTATCACTGAGAAATGACGTCAAACATTTATGACGCGAGGAACACGTGTTTATACGGATATAGATATGCGTTGGTTTCAATAGTGTTACATAAAAAAAAAAACACATTTGCAAATGTAAATATATACAGATACAAATGTAGTTAATGCAAAGATTGCTTTGATTCTGTAGACTTTTAACATCTCTTTATAATAACATTGCATATTTGATTTTGGATTTCATTATGCTCTAAATTATTTCTGTTCACCCTTGGTAAACAATTTGGCCACACAGATTATATTGCGGATGTTATACCATCTTTATAACCAGTTTAGGAGGCTATAAGAGTCACCCTTATAAGCAATGCCCACATGATAATGATGTTAAGCACCTTTAGTCTCCAATTGCAAGAAACTTGACAAGTCTCTAACTATTCTATATCTACAGTCACTGTTTAGTATATCCAAATAAAAGATACTTAATCAGTCAAATGTAATCGAGTCTGCAGCCAAGACCATTCAAAGTTCGCATCTTTTTAAAATCTTTTTTTTTCTTTTTTCACCTTAGATAGAATTGTGCACAAAAAAGATGAATGACTGATTTGAATTGAACATGATTAAGGTGTAGTATTTCAGTTTCTCTATCAGTGTAAGGTCTAGGTGTGTGCAAAACATCCTTGCTTCACATTTTCAGCCACAATTTATCAGTAACGGAGCAATTATTGATCCCTTTATATATTTTTTTCTCACCTCAAATACTTATCAAATGATAATTTTTTTCAAAGTGACTCACAATTAACTATAACTTTATCTTATATATCACTACTTATAATTTTTTAGCACATGTAAGATGAAATCCTTTGTTTTCTCTACTTGACTCTTAACACTTAAGAAATCTGTACGTTTTCAAAATTGATTGTATCTTTTGCCAGGCGAAGAGACCG